CCTACATTTTTTTTCTTCGTCCACCCACTAATTATTGACACCGGTCACGCATTGTTGCCAACCCGGCACCAATGATCTATACGACCGGAGGACATACACGAATAGTACGGCCAAACTCAAAATCAAAGACAACCCAAAGTATCCTGAGATTTGTTTAAATGTGTACATACAATCTGCAATTACATTGATTGTCAAAATTGGCAATAACCAAGTTTTTTTTAGAGGGGGGTGCATACATAAACGCAATAAACGCCTATTAAGTCTATAATGTTTTTGGATAAAAACCAAACATTTGCCCGGCTTCACAAAAAAAGAGACGGTGTTTTTTCGGGATTAGGTTTTTATTGCCAGCTCTAATGACAGTATAATAAACACAATTCGATAACACGAAAAACCGGTATAATTTTATAACTTAATAGCATTAGGTCTGTGCACTATTCAAAATATCTAATGTCAATTATATCACACTTAAAAATTTGATAATTACCATTCACAACATATGTGTGTCTGTGTTTAGGTTACTGCTTATGTACACACCGTTTAAAGTAAAATATGAAACAAGTTGCGGATTTTCGTCTCAGTTACATTTCCATTTAACCTAAATAGAGGGCATGCTAAAATAATAAAAAACGATTGTGCCAAATTTGTAACTCCAATAATTTATTAGTATGCAAGAACATCTGGATCGTCGATGAATGTTCCTGAACGTGTCTCTGTCACGCCGTTGGCTTTGACAGTCGGTGGCAAAATAATTGTACAAACCCAAATTTCTTCTGGGCGTGTGCGACGGTTTTTGTCGTAAGACTTTACAACGAACGACGATACTCTTTGATTATGATTTTTTTGTCGGAGGATCCATACCGAAGAATCACGACCATAAATCATTTCAATGGCTCTTTTTTACAATCACCGTAGATACTTATTCCGTACTTAGCGCCGCAGACGACGACGACGGCGGCGTTTTTCGGTACGTAAAAACCGGCTGCCGTATGGGGCATGAAGTTTTTTTTTCCTTAGAATTTTATTTTTTGTCTAACCATCTTACGTCTGAAACCCCCGCGTCGGATGACACGCCAAACTTTCTCGTTAAAACTAATACAAAGACGCTACGGTAAACTTGTCGTACGCAAAAATAATCATTCCCAATGGCGTTCATCAATCACCGACCGTAGTATGTCGTCGCCGTCAATCTAACGGGGTTACCGGAAATCATAATAATATAATATTAATAATAAATACAACAATTTCTATTATTCCATCCGAATCGCGTTGTCCGAAAATCAATAAACGCGCAGTAATCATTTAAAAAAAATAAAGGTATGTTACTGTGTAAATTGAAAAAGCGATTATTGCACCGATTCAAAACTAACGTTTGCTCGTCGAATTGTTTCGATCCGTTGGACGTTTCCTGTTTAATTACCGTAAATACGTGTTTTTAGTATTAAATAAATATATTTATATATATATATATTTTTTCATCCGTCGCTTAATAACGAATAATAATTATTATTATTGTTGTCGGAATGTCCATTTCGGAGGTTTTGTAATAACTGCACCACCTGTATATAAAATACAAAACCTACTTCAATTATTTCGCAAACAATTAAAAATTTACGCTGATAATTTAAAAAAAAAACAAAATGTATCGCCGGTTAAAAAAATATATTGTTATTGTCGGTGTGCTTTTTTTTAACGATGCGCCATAATAACAATATACAAAGTAAAACTGACAATTATAACGCAGCCGCCCGCGTTAAGATTTCTTGCGTGGCGTCAGATGTTTTTTTAACGTTTTAACATCGCAGTGTCCTGGATTAAAGCGCCAAAACTTCCGGCTTTGCGGAATCTCCAGTAGTAAGCAATTGCCGCTTTTACCGTGGGGCTTATATGTTCGGCGTCGGCGAGATGTATTCTTTCAATATATATTGCCGCATCGAATTATCCGAAAACTGATTTCCCTCCGGCCCTCCCGTCACGGAAGACGTCCGGCCAACTTTCCGCAAAAGTTAGGTTAGTTCATATCGCTTTATTAGATATTATCGCGAATGAGCTTCAGCCGACATGCGGTGTCGTTTTCAATAAACGTCAATCACTTCCGAAAAGCACCGACAGAATTATTAAATTAGTTACCTTAAGTGCGCCCTCATCATTTATCCAACGCGGTTTCCTATGCATTGTGTGTTAGTCATGCGAAGATACAGTTTCTGTGTTGTTTTATTAGTCTGCCGGGTCTAACTCGAGGTGAAATGTAAATAAAAACACTAACGTCCTAAACATGCCTGAGGGTAAAACAAAGAGAGATCCATACGTTGGTATTGGTAAATAAATAATAAACGCTTCACGTTGTTCAAGAGCTGACGGATTGCAATGGCCAGTCGTTTTCGTCGATGGAAAATGATGTTACAGACTACAGAGTACTCCAATACTTTGTCACATTTTCATCTTGTTTTAACGGGTCGCCGTGTTGTGTTTTATCTATAATCATCGCAGTGCCGTCGACATAACGGTGTATAGACAGGCCATGGACACTGATAAAAATTAACAAGGGGAAGATACTTATAACACAAAAACGCGGCGGTCATCTTCTTAAGGCTACACTACTATAATGGTACATCTATATATTATTGTTATTATTTGTTGTGTATAGATACACGACATGTACTAAATACTTTTTTGTTTACGTTGAAAGTGACCCTTCTGCTTTCATATATTTTGTGGTATACAGTTCTAGCACATTATATTTAAAAACGAATTAATACGAGGAATGAATTCAAGCGAAAACACAAGTTTGGTTGATAAACCAAAATTTCGTTTTTATTCGTATGCGTAAAACCTTTTATTGTTGCAAGTGCGATCCCAAATAAACACCCAAATGACAAGACACGTGGTTCCTCCCGTTAGTTTCACACGTATTGATCTCGCCCGTTTTCGTGCGATTAAGACGGCGAATTCACTGATAATAACAATTTCATTACTGATAACGTACACAATATTATTATCCCAATGACGTTCCATCGAACGCGCGTGATACAGCGCCGCCGCCGATCGTCACTACTGCACTCTGTATAATCTGTTGTTCGATCATTTCGTACATACAGGTTGTTTTCCGACCACGTTATTTGGACCTATCTGCACGCAAAGGTTTCGCCCTAGACCGGATGGTATTTTACTAGTGCGCCGCGGTGGTAGATTTGATTTTCATTGCAACCTCTGATCGTGACGCGTATCCTGTTCGCTCTGGATGTTGCTGTTGCAGTTCACGGTATGTGTGTATAGTCCATACAGACTGTGGTCTACAATACTATAATACGTTAGTTTGCCTGGCACAAACGCGCGTATTATATTAGTGTAGACCGTGGAACAGGTTACCGGCCGGGGCCAACCGACAATGATAACGAAACAGTTAGCGATCGAACCCGCTGCGTTGCGGTTGTGCTGCTCTCGTGCTGTGTTTTCAACACTCGACAACCGCCGACGAATCGTTCGCGAATAGGACTTGTGGAATTCGTCTTCGCCAAAAAATTAACCGAGTAAGTGTCGACATTCGTTTATGTTTACCTGGGCCAAAACGTTTTATTAATGTCCGATTTTTGCTTCGATGTACATCTGGGAAGGTATTGGAATTTTTTATTTTAATATCCGAACAAATTACGATCTTGGATATATACATTGATGGACATTGTCACGAAGTTTGTCCCTCGTCGATAAGTTTTTCACCACCGAGGTACCTAAAGGCGGCAAAAGTTATTAATGTTATTTCCAGGGGTCGACTCGATTATGTCGAGTGCGCGTTATTTGTTAAAAATTAAAATCACTGCCGTTGACATTGACGGTTTGAAATTATATTCGGAACTGCGGCAGAGGTATACCTACCACCAATATTATTATTTGGAGGACGGTCATTACCATTTTTACGGTTTTCAAATATTGTATAAGTTGGGAAATTGTTTTTTTTTTCTGCCACAGCCGTCAAATCAAGTCGCTCGTTTTGCATAAACCGTACTGTCGATATTATTGCAATCTATGGGATTCCTTTCGGTGCTTTTCTTGGCGGGCTACGGATCTCTAATTACCTCGCTTAGTGATCGTTTGAAATGGTAATATCGGTAATGCCTCAGAAATTGCAATATCGACCAACAGAGCCAAACCGGACGTGAAAGCCTGGGGCGACCGGGAAAACGGCAGTGCGAAAAAAAGAATATTTTTTTTATAAATTATAATTAAATCATCCCGGGTATCTAATCGAACCGGAGCGTCGGCTATTATTTTTTTTATTTTATTTTTTTACTTTCGCTACAAAAATTACAAAAAAAAACATTTACATCCTTTACACGGGAAACCGATTTCCTTTTCCCCGACTGTTGTTTTATATTACCAATCTGAATAATTCATTTCTCTTTTTCTTGTAATCGCAAAAACGGCAACGGTATAAACTTCCGATACGTTTTTTTTTTTTTATTGTATTTAATTTTTTTCTTTTATGTCAATCTTTTTTAATCATTCCAATTACTCCGGGTCGCCCTGATGTACCAACGCGTAGGACATAACATTATAATTATTATTATTATTATTGCTGGAGCACACGGTCGCCGTTTACAAGTGGTCACATCCGTATTTTCGCTCGCACAACGGTGGTTTGTCTACGTGCTATAATATTAATAAAACGAACAACATATTTTTTTTTCTTCAAAATATAGGTGTTTTTATATATATATATATACATACATATGCACGTTATTTGTAACTACTTCGGTCATAATGGCACGACGTTTAGACGAGATTGTTCGATGCGGTGCAACGATATTATTATAAACGTGCCGTCATTGCGTTAGTATGCTTCGAGCGAGATAATGTTTCTCTGTCTTTAGCAGCGTCTTCGTCGCCTTGACCGCCCCGGTGGAGATTATGTAGTGTTTATGATATATATTTGCATAATATTATACTATTTGCTGTGTACACCTTTTTTCCTAACGTAATTTTTTTTTTTTGTATGATTACAGGGCGACGATGGAACCAGACGGGATCAGATTGCATCTCGCGGGGACCAACAGAAGATCGTTTGATCACGAGCGCCAGGATTGAGACGCTTTTGAGTTTTGTGTAAGTAATTGTTAATATCGTTGGGGCGTTGGTATGTTTAAACGGGCTTAATACACCATCCGACAGTGCACGCTTGGTCTAAAATCTAGGGCATTAATTTAAAAAAAAAAATAATAATAATAAACTTTAAGCAATTAAAATTTGTTTACGCGTTGTTGTATAGTTACACTTGAGTCTTGAGGTAAAGAAAAAAATGAAATTCCTATACGGATAAACCTCAACTTAGCCTACCATGTCGATTCATTAGTTCCACTCCCTATTGGGCGCCAATAGTCATAGAGTTTTTTTTTTTACAAAATATACATCGGTCCCTGTAAATTTAAAAAATATATATATATATTAGATTCGATAGATCTTTGAAGTTTAATAAATGAATTGGAAATCCAGTTTCATGGTATTAATTTGTATAATGGACTGCTCTGTGAAATAGGACGTTTCCTTTTTCCTTATTATAAAAAGAAATATTTTTTTATTCCCAAAAAACATGCCTGTGTGTACCATTTATGCATTCTCTCTATTAGCTGTATAATGTATCACTTTTAAAAATGAAAATACGTTAAATTAATGTGCGGATTGCACAACCGGCCGTGCTTGGTTGTACGGTTTGTTGGACTTACCAAGTAAGACTGAGCCTTAGAAGTTGATTGGTGCCTTAATTTTTAACTGATGTACTTTATACTTTATTTACTTGTCGTTTTCGATTCAACGATTCATTTGCCAGAAACTATTGGCTTGGTTTTTTAATTTTAAATAAAGATCGAGCTGACTCACTTCATCAAAACACTTACAAAATGTGTAGAAAAATAAATAGTGACATATACTGCGTGAACAAATTAATTTTACATGTGATTTGAATTTATTGCCAAGTGTGTTATGTACCATTATATTATTATTGTCGGTTCGGTGAGTTAGGTAGATATTTTGCGATAAATCTTAATCGGTCATTCGATCCCTTATATGATTAATAAAACAGAATAGGTACCGAATGATGTAAGTTGTCACGTGTATAAACTCCAATTAGTATTTGTTTTTAAATTGAATAATATTTTAGCTACTATTCTGTAATCGCCTACGTTATCGATTCGAAATACCTTCCCAGCTTTTGATCCAAGTTTAATGGATCAGTTTTGAGCTTGTACACATCCTAATCCGGACGAACCCGGTATTTGATTATTGTCTGTATATCAATTCATCGGCATTGAACATGACAAAACATGGCGTAATAGTCATATTGTGATTTTCTTTGTTGTATAAGACAACTATTAAGTAGATAACAACAGTTTGTGTAATTTGTTATTGATAATAATTGTCCATTATATGTATGCGCGTTACAAACGGCCAACTCTGGTCGTTTCAACGTTTAACGGTATTATTGTATATATTGTGTATATTACAATAGTTAATAATACAATTTTGTAAATGTATCGAAAACCCATTGGGCTGTCGTCGCATTTGGTGAGTCAATTAAATAATAATTACTATTTTACAACCATGACGTCCCGGTATTGACTGGTTTGGACCTCGGGTCAACTCTGTAATTTATGACCAACGATAGGCTTAACTCGTGAACATCGGCCAGCGACGGATAACGTTACAAGCTGTAGACCGCACTTGTCATTATACTAATGCGTTTTAGAAAATTAATAATGCAAAACGATCGCCGTTAAACAATTAAACATTATATCTCAATGTATTATTAATATTATGATAATAGTATCAGTATGTATTATTATCGAAGACTGAAGAGCCTCCTCTAATGTAGATGTTGTACTGATTCATTTAAAATCCACATTAACAACATTTGAACGTTGTTGGACAAAATGTGAACGAAAGACACGCATTTGTTTCCAAGTTTGAAGTTATACGTATGTATGTTGTATACTGGATTTATTTTCTTTTGTTGTAGTTTCCGAACAGAGCATTTCGATGCAGTACAAATAATTAGGTACGTGCGCAAGTATTTGTACCCAAAATTATACTTCTTCTACTTGTTTTTTTTTTTTTTGTTTACAACGTTCGACCTTGTTATCTTCTTATCTGATATATTTACTTGTTTTTTTTTTTAAATCTATTTTTATTTTGAATTCTAAAACCGATTTCAAATAGGTCTTCTTTGGGACTCGGGCATTACTTATTTATAAATATTTTAACTTATCTGAGAAAGTCGGCTTCGTATAATAGCATCAGAAACGCTTGTGTGTTAATAAAAACTAACTAGTATCCATCTCCTTCTTCGCGCAACGGTTTAAATAAGCTATGGATAATCCTATCTCCTGCAAGACATAAATTCAATATTGTACACTAGAATATTCAATGTGTATTCACACAACTATACTCGTTGAAACAAACGTATTCCAGTCACCACACTTCAAGATAGGTTCGACTAAAGCGTATTCAAATTACGGGTCGAAAAAGTTTTGCCGCCGACCGCATAAAATGATTTCGTAATTCGCTTGTTTTGGTTATTTGCATGCGTAAGTACACCTACACGTTCACCGGTGACCCACGTTCATGAATCAAAACCTTTATTTTCTGTAACATAACTCTTATATTTTGATAACGGAATTAAAACGAATGCGATCGTTGGCTGGCCAAAAACAAAAAAAACAAAAACATAGAACGCTCTTAATACTTTATTGATGTATTATTATAAAGTTTTTAATGGAGTACAAAACGCTTAAAACAAGTTTCGTTAGATTTGAAGTATGTGTTATCTTACTAAGAAATATGGTTTAGATCTCTACATTTAAGCTCCCATTGAACGATGCATTTTTTATTCATCGAGTATTTTTTTATTTTACTCAATACAATTTTATCAAACACCGTTTTTCCTGAATTTTAGACTTGTACTTAACTAGGTGAATTACCAACCGCCGATTCTTTTATCCATTGCTCGGTGCACAGTTACTGTGTTACACTGTATGTCACGTAGATTTCATCTAACGTGCCAAGCTTTCGTTTCACGACATAACGTCGCTGCAAACCTTAAACCCGTTTGTACATGATATTAAATTGACTTTTTTCGCGTTTTCCCCGGTCGGCGAGCACTATCCGGCTACTGCACATATCACGGCTACAACACATGTCTTGGTCGATATATCCACACACAATTCACACTCTAGAAAACTATAATTGATTTGGCCGTACCCGTCGGGGACCGTTTTGTTTGTTCAAATCGAAGCGCAGTGACCGTTTTCCCGTTGGCGGCGTACTGGGTTATACCTGTATACCGTGGGACATTTAAAAAACGATATTTGCATTGGATTACATGTATAATGCATACATACTATACAGAGGCAAACGCAAATACCGAGATGATGATCCCTAGGGATTTGTATTTGGTGTTTTTTGTAGTTTACTTATTCTTGTGTACTACTTGCTTCTGCGTGTGTGTTCGAACATACAATCAAACGAAAAACTATTTTCTAATTCCTCATCGCTGTGTGGTGTTGGATACACAATTCCCGTGCATGTTGCAACCAGCGCGTTATGCGATTGAAAAGTGCCCTACATGTTGTACGAACTTTTTATGATAAAAATATTAATTATTCATCGACTCATCTCTTCGCCGCGCGACCACCCTTCCTGTCAAAAATAACTCTAAAATTATAATATCATGTACCTAGTATATCGATTTCGTGTGTGTGTGTAAGCTGTTAAAAATAACTTCAAACTTTTTATCTTCGCATTACGTCATGACGTCCTGTATTAACGTCTATTAGTCAATACCTAATGATTTTTTAATTGTACACGTTACACGTATATATATATTTTTTGTAGACAAACTAGCGTCTTGGGAGAATACACGCTTACTTAAAAATAATTATATTGTTGTTGTAAAAAAAACAACGGAGGAGAGATTATAGAGGTGAATTGAACGTTTTACACGTTCGTCGCTTTCTTATGTAATAATGGTTAAAAATAAAACATTTTTAGCTTCGATGCAGAGCTGGGAAGGTATTGTTTTTATATTGTGTTTTTTTTTTTTGTCTGGACGATATCTTTTAAACCACTGAACCTATTTTTATGTAGCAACTCTATAGATTAGAAATCGTATCTGAAAGGCACTTTAACGAACCGACACTTTTTCTTATTCTTTTTTCAGGTGTTATGCTTAAATGATGAACGGGTTGTATTGGCTTTTTGGGGCGGCGGTGGCACTGCTGCTGTGGACGCCGGTAGCACGTTCCGGGTCCGATTCGGATTGGGCCTCTTGCGACTCGCAGCTGTGCCGGTGCAAATGGGTCAGCGGATATAAGTCGGTAGACTGCACCAGGGCCGGTCACACTAGCGTGCCCAAGAACCTGAGCAACGAGGTACAAGTGCTGGACCTGTCGCACAACAACATTCTGGAACTGAACAAGGACGCTCTCAACTCGGTGGGCCTGATCAACCTTCACAAGCTGATCGCCCGAAACTGTTCCATCGAATCCGTGGACAAAGACGCTTTCCGCGGGCTACTGCTCCTCATCGAGCTCGACCTGTCCGAAAACCACATACACGTGCTCCAACCGGCCACGTTCCGCGACTTGTTCCGTCTGCGCAAGATCTCCATGAGCGGCAACTTAGTGCAGAAGCTGCCCAACGGCCTTTTCAGTAACATGTCTTTTCTACAGACCGTCGACTTCAGCAATTGCATGATAGCTCAAATCGAACCCAAGGTGTTCAACAACGTGACCAAGCTCAGCAACCTAAAGCTGAACAACAACCGTTTGACCAACATGAAGTCCGAAGTGCTACTGGCGGTGCCCAGTCTGGTGAGCTTGGAGATCTTGAACAACCCGTGGCGGTGCGATTGCAAACTCCGGCCTTTCAGGGATTTGGTGCGTAAATAAATTGTTTTGTATTCGAGTAGTCGACGGACCGTATTTTTTACCCAAGCGTTTATTTATCAATTTTTTAATACTTACCCACATCAACTCAAATTGTTATACTTACTTTGCTACTGGGCCTATAGCGCGTCTACTCAATACGGCCGTATCAATATAATATTGTTGTTTCAGATGATGGCCATGAACCTGTACATCCAGACGGCCACCTGCGCTGAGCCCGCTAGGTTGCAGGAAAAACTGTGGGGCGCTATCCAACCAGACGACTTCGCGTGCCTGCCCACCATCCAGTATCCGGTGCAGAGCTCCACGTTCGAGCTCGACACCGAAGAACTGACCATTGGCTGCAAGATTATCGGCGAACCCACTCCCAGCGTACAGTGGGTGTTCAACAACAGACCCATATCGAATTACTCGCACGCCGATTACAAGTTCTCCGTGTACGAGAGCGTGGACAACACAATGGCCAAGTGGATCAATCTGACCGTGTCCCGTTCCCGGCTGATCGGCAGATCCGAATTCAAGTGTATCGCTCAGAACCCTGCCGGCATGGAAGAGCGAAAAATCACCGTCGTCGTTCAGGTTTGCGATAATAATATATTTTTTAAAAATCTTAGATAAAGCTACGTACGTCGCATTCGAATGCTTTCAGCTTTAGCCGGTAAAATAGCGGTGCTGAGTGGAATAAATTCCCTTACGAGTTATCCTTCACTCGTCGTTTGTTTAATTCTATTAATAACGGTCTGATGTATTTCGTTCGCAGGGTGGCGGCAAAGGCATCCTGGGCACAGCGGTCAGCGTCAAAGAGTCGTTGCCCATAGTCGTGGGCCTGGTGGCCGGCATCTTCATCATCATCCTGCTATTGATCGTCTGCTGTCTGTGCTGCTTCAGACGACGCCCCATCGGCGCCCAGTCCAAGAAATCGCACACCAACGGATTCTCTAACGGGGACGTGTCCAACAGGCACGTCACCTCGCTGGTGTCCGAACCGTCCGAACAACAGAAGAGTCTTTTGGCCGTCGTCAATCCGGTACAAAAACCACCCAGACGGTACGAATCGTCGCCCACCGGCACCGAAATGACTGAACTCAAGAGGAATCTGCTGGACGAGACGTCCATAAGCGGTTAGTACTCGAACAACGATAATCTACGCTTGTAAACAGACTGAATATTCTTAACAATAACAATAATAATATTAATATATCGTCTAATTCATTTTTGCGGTCGACGACAACGAAAAGATTTTTACTCGCGCTTCTTTTTACTGACCTAACTGCGGTTTGTACCTACTAAACGTATGTTATGACGAGGCGCGGAAATAATAAACCATTGAAACATTTGTTTTCGTTATCTCTCGACGGTCTTTGATGGAACATAATATACATTATGTCGTGCTCGTTGTACGGCTGTCGTACCAGCGAAGAACCGTCACCGCCACTGCCAACGCAGCCATCGCCACAACGGCCAAGACAAAGACTCGACACTGCAGTCGATCTCTGGGACTCGCCGTTTGTGGATCTTCTCCTGTCACGGCGGCCATCCGTTTCGCAACGTGTTTTTAGTTTCTAAAACAAAAATCTCGGCTTTTCGGCGTTAGGTAAAAACGCACGACGCGTTCATTTATAAATACAATCAGTTATTATATTTTTTATTACATAATAACGTATATTGCACGTCGTTTTCTTGTAGTATTGATATTATAATACTAGTGATAGGAATTTGAAAATCCGAATTTTTTCCCCCCAAAAAAAAACAATGTTTTAGCCATTTAAAAATCTCACTAAGACTAAATATAAATTCAACAAAGCTAATTTTTTTTTAAACACTTTAAAAATTGCTTTCAAAAACAATGTATATTTTCGGTTTTATGTATTAAATTGTTTAATATTCATCAAAACCTTACATGAATTATGAATGTATATTTATACGATTTTTGAGTGGCTAAAACTGGTTTTTTTTATAAATATTCGGATTTTTGAGCATTACCATCACTATTTATTCTAGAACGCGTCCGTTTCAATTGTAAATATAGTTTTTAACAGCCAAGCCGGTCCGTCGGGAACGTATTCTAGAAAAAAACTATTGACAGTACGTTTCTTCTTGGTTCAATTACAACTTAAGCGTCACCTGGCGACGTTTTCTCAATGTGTATTGTCATCTTTCACAGCAATCATATTTATAAACTATTTCTTACTTGCAGGTCATAGTGTTTTTAGTTGTACCAATCGTTCGGTAAACATTATTAAGCCGACTCTCATCCGAAACGGCCAGCAAAGAATCGTCGGGATTGCAAATTATTATTATGCCGAATTACTTGCTAACCGTGGTTTTGGTATACATATATTTTCATAAAAACTTAACTCATACTCTATGCGAGACTGTATTACCCTTTCCCCGTGTAATTCTGTATGGTCTATGATTTTCTTTAATAATTGACCGCAATCGAATCTATGCGTTTATAATATACCTATATTTTGTACTAGATTTTTCCGTGTGTCGACTTGCATTAGTCGTTATTATACTTTTTAAGTAAGTTTGTAAAACACTACCAAAAACTACGGTGTCTCTCGGGATATGAACGTGGCAACCGTTGTAATTAAATTCGACCGTTAATTATTTATAAACGACAATTCTGAGAGCGAACCGTTCGCGGAATCTTTGGAAAACTTGCGCAAAATTATGGAAAACCTCTTTACGAATTTGGCGTTTACACTTTTTGCATTTCAAACTGTTCGTTCAACATTAGCGAGAAACCTGAAAAGTAGGTCGTCCCCCGATAGCATTATTATTATTATCATTCCTTGTCCGACTATACGGTTATAACAATAACGACGTCGTGAAAGGACAAATCGGTGAACGATAATATTGGACGACTTTTCCTCGCTTGCCGTCCGCTATGTGTTGGGTCGGTTTTATCATAATCCAATGCTTCGACAACAACGAGTAACTAAGCGATGACCCCTGCGCTGAGCTTTCCATTTTGAGCGGTTTAAAACAAAATCGTTTCGGACCGCTGTCGTGTGTGCACGACGAAATGGGGCGGACGCGTACCCGCCATCGTCGAATCGAACATCATACAATAGCGCTATAAATATATTGACCGAGAATTACATTTATTCCCAATTTTCTATTTATCTCGACCATCGTTCTTGACCGTAATACCCATCGTCCGCGCGTCTTCGGTCCACCGGTGTATAGTACGGTGTATTTAGTTACGCTAACGGTTTTTCTGATATTCGTTAGCAATATCAATAATCCTAAACGATCACTGTAATCGAAACGGTATCGGTCGCGTGGCATACTTACTTTTGTATTTTTAGCGTTAGCTAGAAGCTATATTGTCCGATACTCTTCGAAATCTCGGCCTTGTGATTTTTATATAGTTAATTATTATTGCTCGCATGCCCCGTAGGCAATTGATTTATACGCTTCTGTAAAACATCTTTTGTTTTGTGTCCACTAAGACTTTGCTTGGTTGGTAATGTGAAAGTTTACTAGCATAACAAAAGCATACGCTGTTATAATGTTACACGGGCGAATGATCTAGCAGCTTTGTCCTTCTCCCCTCCCCTGTTTATATATATATTTATATATTTATATAATACGACTTGTGTATTTTTAAAATTTGTTTTCATTATTATATAGTCTAGATTGACACTGTTTTTTTTTTTAATTATGATGTGTTATTTTGTTTTATAGGCGACGGAGAAGACCAGTGTTTCGGTGAATCGGGCGACGAATTGGGCAGCATCGACGGCCGATCGTACAGGAAAGGCTCTCACCCGCCGGATTTGTTGGCTTTTCCCCGCGGCGGCCACAGTTCGCCAGCCGGCAGCATTGTGTCCACCATTCCGGCGTTCCAGTCGCCCATTCACAGTCCCATTTATTCGGGCACGCTACCGTACAACCGGTCGCAATCGCCGTTTAGCCCGCGTCCGTCAATGCCGCCCGCCGGTTACGTGACCATACCGAGGAGACCGCGCGCGCCCAGTTGGGCAAGTCCCACGACGCCGACGCTGCTGGACGATCCGTTGGGCGTCGGCCGGCTGTGCGAACCCGTCTACGACAACCTCGGTCCTCGGACCACGGCAGACGGCAGTTCCGTGCTGTCGCTGACCAAAGCGGTGGCGGCGTCGGGTGGTGACTCGGCTGGACGGCTGCTCAGGCCCACGCCGCAGTACAGCCAAACGCTACCGCACAAGACCAAGCTGCACCGCAACCCCGCGCCTCGGTTCCAGGACACGGACTTGGATAGGGTGCCGTCGCCGGCGCCGAGATCTCCGGAAAAAATCGCGCCCAAACCGTCGTCGGGCAAGGTCGTCAACGGCAGCAACGGATTGCCGCCCAACTATTCGCCGCTGGTGGACGCAGACGTGCGCAACAGGAGCAGCTGGGCGCCCAGCCGAGTGGGCACGCCCGAGACCGGCGTACTCAAGCCGGCCAGCCAGACGAGCCTCAAGCGCAAAGTGCCTCCCATACCGCCTCCAAAACCCAAAAAGAACGGCGGCCCCTTATTCGAGGATGAAGGTGAAGACGGTACTGAGGTTTGAAAAACCGTCGACGACATCTAAAATTGATCATCACTCGTACTTCCTCAGTATAACTTATTCGTACCTTATGATTTTTAGAAATCATTGTTGATTTTTCATTGGTGTGGTTAGACACCTTTGAAAATATCGAAAACGCCAAAAATAATAATATATGCTATGTATACGTTAAAAAAAAAAAAAGAGTTTTTCACCATCAAATTACTCGACGAATGTGAATACCAGTTAGGCGGTTGTCGACATAACCCTAATACTCGGTTACGGTCGCTTCGTACGAGTAAATGTACCCATGAGAGAATTTATGTTGTTTAACTCGCTGAAAAGGCAACCAGTTTTTTTTTCAGTCTGACGTCTTAATTTTAAAAAAATGTTATTTTCTACATTAAGTTGTTAATGAGTTTGCTTTGTCGATATGTTTTGTTTCCTTTATTCTAATGGCCTTCCATGATTTTTAATAATATGCATAATTGTGTAAACCCAGTTGAATTTCCACCGACTGCTTATGACACTTGGATTTATTTTAATGTATTAAATTTGTCTGAGAGACATTTTCTATACTTAACGATTTTATTAAACTGATTTTGTTTTTGAAATTGTAATTTAGTTGTTGTTCATTTCAATAGTTTACTTTGTACCAACTATACATTATAGTTGCTTCATATGTTTTTTTTATATAATAATGAAATAAGTTAGCTACTTTGATTAGTTGTTATGTCTGATATTATTTAATTTTTTTTGTTGTGCAAATGCTTAATGCTTCAGTTTACAATATTATTATAACTTGTAGGTACGTAGCATTTTGTTTTTGATGGAAGACGTATACTATTGTAAATATATTGCAGTATAAAAGCCATTGTACATTTATATACCTTGTCTAGTAAAATATAAAGATTTTAACAATTTTAAATTTCACATTTGTATGAATGTATATACTTTTTTAATTTAATGAGAAAAATTAAATGATTTCTAAAATGTTATTGAGCAAGTAATAAATCGTCAATACCAACAAGCATGATATTTTAAAGATAAAATATGTTTACCTATAAATTGTTAAATTATATTTGTCTCGCCATTATGTTATTCTTTGAAATATGCGCTTTTGTGTATAAGATTATCGCTTAAATTTAAAAAGTTCCTGTATTTATATAAATTTATTATTATTATGTGATTTGTTTTGTTTTTAATTATTTTCTTTGTATATTCAACGAGGGTATAATTTTTTTTTATTGATTTTAAACATTTAATTTAATTTTTAAATAGAGTATGTTTTTATTATTTTTTTTACTGTCAAATTATTTATAATTGACTACTATTATAATATAATTTTATTTATACTATTGTGCTCCTTAATGACTGAAATATATAACGAAAAAAATATATTGTAAAAACGCTATTGTAAAAATCAAATAGTTACTTAAAATATTCACATATAGATATATATATATATATATACTATGTATGTCATTATTATAATTATAAAATGTATATTGATTTTAAGAAGATTATAATTTATGTTAATGTAATATTATATTTTGTATGAAAAATAAATATTAAAAAGAATTAATTTTACAATGAACACACGTTTTACGTTACTTTACTTCTTGTTTGTGAATTACTTGGTTAAATACAAAATGATGCTTTTGTTGTTTGAAAGGACGCAACACCTACCAATTTTTTTATTTTTTTTTAAGGCAGTTTTATCAAAATCTTAATTTAAAAAAATTAAGTGTACTTTTATTAAATACAGTTATGAGAAGTATTCGTAATTTATTATATTTCTTTTTGGATTATAATACCGTTTGTTACTAACCTTTTTAAATAATTGTCTTCATTGATATAGGTCAGCTATTTTACTGTTAGCTATTGTCCTGTTCTACTTGTAGTGTCTTAAAATTTTGATGACATTTAAAAAATAATATAATACTACGATGGACATCATCGTTTTTTATGTTTATCGATAAATAAGATTATAATATTGTGTTTTTGAACACTGATGCCTTTCTCTAAAATATTAAAATAACAAACTATTATATTGGAAAATATTTGTGTAGATACAGCAAAACTATTTGTAGTATGTAGTTTTTGTCTTGACTTCATGTCATAGTTGTATAAATTAATTAAAAACGTTTTAAAATGTACAACTATAATACTATGTAAAGGTAATCAAACATTTTTTTATATTTTGTTATTCGTGCCCCATCTAAATTTTAACTGGATTAAATGATAAGAACACGTGACGCAAAACCTTGAAGTCCCAAATCATAATGCTCAATTAGCTATAATATAACAATAATATTAATGGCAAAAAAAAAAAATGTCGTTGATATCATGATTTAAACATTAATAAATTAAACATTAATAAATCCCAAAAATATAAAAAATATTTTTTTATAATAATTTTCAATGAAAATCAAAATTGATTTATTCCAACTAGTAGTCCACTTTCACACTGAGGCGTTTTCGATCAGTCAGGTAAAAATACATTATAAATTATCATTCTAAAACTGTTATTTTAAGTAGGATTTATTATTTTAGTATGGCATTATTGCATTCTATTCACTAAATATTGTTGAAATAATTCCTGTTCGATACTTTGAGCTATTTAAGAGGGCGTCGCACCGGTGATTTTCAGTGGTAAAAACATGTTTAAGCAGACTGAAAATAACTCGCTTAATTTTGGTTTTTAAGTAAAAGCACCCGTTATAAAATTAAAAGAGAACAATATTCCGCAGGGCAAGACGGTGCGTTTTTTTAAAAAAATTCATTTTTTGAAAAGTTATAGTCATTTAAAAATGTTAAAATAGTCGTTATTTCTAAACTATGTATTGAGCGCTATACTTGGAATAATGAAAAAAACGCACAGTCTTGCCCTCCGAAATATTGTTCTCTTTTAATTTTATAATGGGTGCTTTTACTCTAAATCCAAAATTAAGCGAGTTATTTTCAGTCTGCTTAAACAAGTAGAGATGAAAAAACATTTTTAAATCGCTTTCCAGGATGCTGTGATAGTCCAAAAAATAAATTAACTACCAAAATAGAGCCTTAGTTATTGAACTAATAATTACACATCACAGTTTAACATTTAAATTAAGATTTTGTAAAAAAATTAGTAGGTTTGTCTATACCTACTTTACTCCTTAAAAATGGGCGGTGCGACGCCCTCTTAAGAATTATTAATTAGAATTACTTAATTTTTGTTTTTTTTTATAGGATTTATTATTACCGTGTTATTTAATATTTAAATCATGATACCAACGAAATATTTATTTTTTTTACTATTTTTATAGGTTCCATTAAAATTATATCTAACAAAATTTTAATTTAAATCGCTGATTTTAATATTTTTTGTTATTAAGCTAGTTGAGCACATGATTGTGGTTACGAAGGTATTGCGGCAAGATATATCTTATACCGCTGGTCCAATTTCTTTACGTAGGTAGCAAATCTGAATTATACTTTACAAGTCAATCTAATTGAACAAGCTTAACCCTTTCACTCCGAAATAAAAAATAGAACACCCTAAAAAGTAAAAGTGGTATGAATTTGTAACTAAAATATACGGCACACTATTACGATTGGAATGCCCAATAATTATAATTGTAATATAATTATAATGCCCAATAATAAACACATCTAAATTGCTAATTTAGTAACTAAGAGCAATAAAGAAACTAAGAGGTTTTCTCACTAATTCAATCTATTTGTCCTGGAGAAAATAACTCAGTCAAAAACATTTTTTTAAGGTAAAAAAAATCAAGTATAAAAAAAAGAACATTTTATTTTAGTTGAGTAAAATGTGAATTTTGTTCAAAACTAATCCGGACCCTCGATTAAAACTCGAATCTGGCACTCAACAAAGAGACGCATAAGTGTTGACCTTTTTATGTTACGATAAGATTTAGTATATGGTTTTGGGTCATTACGCATTATATTATTATACATCAATGTAGGTCCTACCTGGCCTAGGGACAAAACTAGTATGCTATGAAAATACAAATTTACCTAGGAAATATTACTAAGGTCAAATCTTCAGGGAGTACGGACACTGTATAGCCGTACTTACTCTTTAGGAAAAAATCCTACTTACAATATTTAAAACACTAGACAAGCATTTGAATGTATGGAGAAATGTTTTACTTAAAACAATAAAACTTACTTTGGCAATGTACGTCAACAGTTAGCTTATGTGTTAGTTGACTATTTTAATATCTTCATTGATTTAGTATTATAATATTGAGTTTTCTATACAATGAATGTATCTTGAATTATAAATACATTATTTTATTTTCCAAAATACTTTCTATAAAGTCTTTGTGTGAGGAAATCGGGCATATAATTTTATGGGGCCTTTAAAAAAAAAGGGATCCATTAACACGACTGTATAAGTTGTTATTTATACTTACAGATTATGTTACACATAATTCACCTCGACGATATAGTTCATGTTTACAATGAATATATATATGCATAATATGGCCTATGGGCTATAACCATTAACCACAAATCACAATGCTCATTAATAATCATCGAGTATAAATCAATGTTATTATAAATACTTGGTTATCAAATAAATAAATAATATTTAGTATATTTATACATATATAAATATATGACTAAAAAAAATAGCATGTTTAAACAGAATTTTAATTTAAAATCCATTTGATCATTATGAATATACCTACTCAACGTGGTGCCTGTTGTTTTGTATAAAACTCGTTGTGTACAATGTATTTATTAGATTCCTAGAATTGCACGTCTTCCGAAACAAGTTTTGCACCGTATCCGGTGTCGTGGGTAAGTTTGACGAAGATAAAAAAATATTCTCCCGTGGCGTTTTCTCGGCTCATCCATATTTTTACCCAACCAATTACTAAATCTCCTTTTTTTTTTTTAATTTGAAAATAATAATACTTCAACTTCCACTACAGCCTGTACCTACCTACTTAGATTTGATTTGTTTTCATAGGTACGTTTCTGTTTTTATGTATGTACTCTAAAAGTGTATATTATCATATTCAGGTTATGTATTTTGGTATTCGCATTCCCAGATGCGAATAATAATTCAATTATTATAAATTCAATTTATAATATTTATTATTATAAATTCAATCGACGGTGATTGATAATATTTGTTAATTTAGTAATAATTAAATAACATTGTCCCTGAAAATAAGTTTTTGTACGATATTTATTTATATAATATTTCGTTTAAAACGCTATTCATCTAACTGAAATGTGTAGATTATAATATTGATTAGAAGTTTTTTTAGGCCTGTCAAACGATTTTCAAAAATCACACAGTAATAATAGGTATAAGGTTGCAGTGTACCTATACAAAATATTGGACACATACGAGTACAAAAATCCTATTCGTATGCTACGGTTTCTATATACCAATTCAGATTATACCTAGCATACCCAATTTTTTAAAATGAGTAAAATAATTGACATCCTCTTATACCTATTTTCAACGTGCTACCTGGTCGTCTTTTTCGAGTTGTCATAGTATGAAATATGAATATACATAATACTTTATAGTAATGACAAATGACGTTTTAATAACATTTCAGCCGATGTATTTTTCTATTGATTTTCAAGATAAAATTTCAGTCAAAATCTCGAAGAGCTACGCCGGATGGATGGTTGCTGTATTTTTGGGGAATTTTAAGGGATTTTGGGGTGTCTAAACCGACTATTTTTGTTAATGCCAGGTAATGCCTCGTACGTTCATGAATCATCATATTTTTTTCTCTGGTGACAGTGGCCTATAATACTGTGCGAGAGAGATGTAAAGGAATTATTTACCTGTGCCTCAAAGTAATTTTCATAAGACGGGGTTCAGCCTTATAATATATAAAAATATATTAGGTTACTTTCTAACTAACAGTGTATTGTCTCATCTGTGTGTAGTATCTAAACTTACCATCTAGTTAGGAGGGCGTCGCACCGCCCATTTTTAAGGAGTAAAGTATAGGCAATTTTTTACAAAATCCTAATTTCAAGGTTAAACTGTGATGTGTAATTTTTAGTTTAGTCTCTATTTTGGTAGTTAATTTATTTTTCGGACTATCACAGCATCCTTGAAAGCGATTTAAAAATGTTTTTTCATCTCAACTTGTTTAAGCAAACTGAAAATAACTCGTTTAATTTTGGATTTAGAGTAAAAGCACCCATTATAAAATTAAAAGAGAACAATATTTCGGAGGGCAAGACACGTCTAGTGTCATCGCAAATACATTGTACTCCATACTAACCGGAGGCCAGTGGTTTTATTAAGAAATTTGAGTTATTTCCATCGGTGATGGAAATATATTATTTTACACATGGTGTAGGTGTACCTACGCGGATTTTGTATAATATACATTTTATATTATTATGTTGTACGGCGATTATTGTAAAACGTAGTTATTCCAAACGAAACCGCGTTTAGTACGAATGTTTTTTTTTTGAAAAGAGACTGTTAAAAAAAAAGGAAAAAAAAAAACAAAATGTTTATATAGCCGTATTCGTAGGTAAAAAAACCCACGAGAAAAATCGGTCGAACCAAACACGTTTTTAGGGTCCACGTACTACGGTTGCCACGCCGTAGCCACTAGCCGGCATACACGCTTGAGTTTTGCCCCTCCGCCCCGCGGCCGGTGCGTGCCGCGTTCGCCGCCATACACGCACGCACGCACGCACGCACGTACGTGCACGCTCTCCCACTCGGCGGCAGTCAGCGCATTCGGCACATAACTCAGCGGACCAGATCAGTGGACCCCCGTGCCGATAACAGACGTTTTGATACTGTTGTCCGTATCAGTAGTCGCTAGTTTCGCGTATTTTGTGTGTGTCTCCGTGTAAGCCGCGACAACTGCAACAAAGCGACCGCCGCCGCCGCCAAATAGGACACAGCCGGGTTGTTTTCGACGACCAACAGTTTCCAAAGCGAAAACAAAAAAAAAAAAATGGCCAAACCTTTCTCGTGTAAGTATACTCGAATCGCCGTGGCGGCCCTCAGACCGTTCGCCGTCCGTCTTTTGTCTGCTTCCGCGTACAGTTCAAAAGGATTCCCATGTAAGACCCGACGTGTGTGTGAACAGGATTTTCTAAAATCTTAATATCTCATTTTCCAGTAATTAATATGTCGCGTGATGTCAAATTTGATTATGCCGTTTGTCGTTTCGTCACCGAGCGGACATGGTTGTTCTCGTCTACCTACGGTTTTATAATTTTTTTTTATTTTCACAGTCTCGTCGTTAGACGATTAAAAGATTTTTGTCGTTTTGCCCACGAAAATATTGTCATCCGTTGTCTCGTAAAATTATCACACAATTCCTATGAACTTGGAAATTGGCTATTGTTCAATGAAAATAATTCATTAACGACGACCCTAGGTTATTGCGTTTCATAATAATTGCATTGCGGATCTATCAATGCGATGACTGTAATCAGTAAAATGACAAATCGATTGTTAACTTATCTCTCCCCCCCCTTCTCGATATCAATTCATAATAGCTGTAGACTGTAGTAAACCTTTTATACAATATACTATAGATTTCTAAAATAAGATCATAATATTTTTTTATCAATCTGGTAAACCGTTGTTAATTAAATGTTTCAAAGCAGTTTAACGCTATTTGTTCGAGTAATTACACTGTTTAATAATAATTATAATTTTAGGAACTATTCATTATAATTGTTTGATAACACTATTTATAATCTTAGTAGTAAAACAAATTGGTGATAACACCTATTTTTTTTATCTAAATCAGGGGTCGGCAGTTAGTTTCCAAGGATAATTTGAAAGAAAAATTTTCGAGGTCCAAAAAATACTTAAGTTGTAATTATTTTTGTTTAACAACACAGTAAAATATTTTTGGCGGTCCATAAATTTCCCCTCCGCGGTCCGAATCCGGACTGCGGGCCGCCTATTGCCGACCTCTGATCTAAATGTTTGTTTAATTTACTAATTATTGTTTTACTAAATGATTTTTTTTATATTACACTAAATGAGTTAAATTTATGCAAGAAGCATGGTATAATAAGAGTTATCTATAAACCCAAAAATGTTATATTCATAATTTTACAATAAATAACTATCTTGAGTCTAAGGATTTAGTAAAATATATGTTATAAACTGTCATAATATTATAAAATCGTTTTTACAATGATAGTTATATTTTCTTTATTAGTAGAAAATGTTTATAACTTATATTTATTATAATAAGAATATGTAAAATAATTGTAGTCTACAAGTGTACTAGACGTGACAGATTGATTGAAGGGAGTTTCCATATATCATTATAGAACTCGAAAGTTATATAATCATTATAATATCTACAGGGTTGGCCACAAGACTTGAACATGCAGCCATGTTAGGGGATTCCATAAGCCTTAGACAAAACAGTTGTAAAATATAAAAAATGAACAAGTCAATTATTTTACATTTAACCAATACATTTTGTATTGGTTAACTTGTATTAACAGTATATTATTTATAATATATAACATTTTATTCTTAATTCAAAAGTATATAACTGAAATATTATTTTTGATGTGCAATTTATATATAACTTTAAATATTAGTTTGTGTGATAGGAATAAGATTAATGTATATTCACAATGTTAAATATGTAAATCTTTTGTCATCTTGACACAATATAACCTTACGTTAGTAGTAGTAATGTTTAAAAATGAATGCCAAATCTATTTATAATATAACTAACGGTCATTAAAAATAACTAATTAACATTATTCAATAATTTTATTACATTTTTTCAATTTTTAAAATATACTCCCTTAATAATTAACGCATTACTTCCCAAATATTAATATATGTGAAGGTGTTTCAGTTTCTTTCAAAATAAGTCAAATATTAACTTGTACGCCAATTTTTTTTTTTTATTAAAATTTTTCATTCTGGATTTTGAGAAATCTATTTATTTAAAATTCTATTCTAAGTTTTTATTCTATTTCAAGTTAAATAAGTAACATTTTGTTGACTTAATATATGTTTAAAATGCTCTTAGTTTTTTTATTATGAAAATATAATATTTTCTTTGGTAGGTTATGTTTTGGTATTTGATATCCTATGTGTTATTTATTGAAAAACAGTACTCAAAATACTCTGTGTACAAAATGGTGGTGACGGTGGATGAAATCATTCCCGTTGTTATAGTACGTAGAATCATAAGCAAAAACTAAATTGCCTCTTTGATGACATAGAATTGATCAATAGAAGAAAACTTTTAATAATAAAACTAATTTACCGTTACTGTGTCCAATGGAAACACATTGAATAACTATACCTAAGATACGTGTATACTAGATGTGAATAGTCACTGTCTTTGTTACTCGCATCAAAAACATGATTCTTTTGATAAATTGTCGGGAGTAGCTGCGCATAAATTCTGTTTTGTTGTATTTAGGAAGGTTCAAGGTTGAAATATATATATATATATGTATATATATATATACACCCATGTGTATGTGTATTGTCTCCTCAATGAATATTATCTTTTGAAATTCTTTTTTTCATCATTTTTCTCCTCCTTATTTTACTATGGGTTGTTACTATTGGTTTTTATGTATTTATGTATGCATATTCTAACTAAAAAATACTTAATTATAAAATTTAATAATTTGTGTTTTTAGCTGTTGTCAATGAAACCAATGTAGCCAAATTCCGAGAAGCATTCTACAGTGATGCCAAAAATGTTTTGGCCCAAAATGCATGCTCACGTGTCAGTCCAACAGAAGTGAGCACATCAAGAGACAGAGTTCAAGAATGCCATCATTATTTTTCTAATAAAGTAAAGCGATTGTATTTATTTTTGTATGAAACATATAACGTTTATTGACAAAATATTTTTGTTTTGGTTCAGATTGAATCTGAAGGCAAACCAATAACCAGCCAGAGGAGTTCGGGACGCTGTTGGATATTTGCATGTTTAAATGTGATAAGAGTACCATTTATTAAGCAGTTTAATTTGGAAGAGTTTGAATTCAGTCAAGCGCATGTATTTTTTTGGGATAAAGTAAGTCTATATTATGTACTATATAATGTTGGGTTGCATAAGGGTTTTGTACTGTATCCAATTGAAAAAAGGAATATTTGAATATAATGTGACCTTGGCCTGATTCAAGGGTCATGTTATAAAAAATGAGTCCCTTCAACACCTGTTTGTTGTTTAAATTATGTCTCTAGAAAAATAACTTTTAAAGGACAGGGCATTATACAAGCGAACAATTGTGAGGGTCCTATACTAGAATTTTCATGTTACCTAATTTTTTTTTTAACAACCCATTTTTATGCATATGGCTTTCATCATGGTCATGATTACATAAAAACGTACCTACATCTATTCTATGAGGTGATGTCGATACTATTCTTATATTTATTATATATCTGTCTGATATTCAGCTGAGGCAAGTGCCAAACATTCAGATAACAGTTGAACATTTTAAATAGTAAGCCAAGTTTTCCACATAAAGGTTTACTGTCTCAACTCTCGTTGAGGGTTGGTTAATAAAATAATTGTATTCATATAATATAAGCTTTGATGACAGTTCCAGCGATGTTATAACTTACAAAAATAGTAAAAGTAATCTCAAATTTGTTTAATCACTTTTTCTAAGTATTAAAAATAAAACTCATTAACAAGTGACAAACACAATTAGGAACACATTATAGTCTTCATAGTAATTTTTTTATATATTTTTTATTTATTGATTCATATATTGGTGAAATCATTTTCTTAGAAGTGATATTATCACTTTCAGTTATAATTTTAATGATATTTATTATAATAGTTATATACTAAAAGTTAACCTCATCTTTCGAATATGTATGTATGTATACATATATTTTGTATATTTCTGGATTCGAGATCTTTTGATGGCCATCATTTTTTTTATTAGAAGTAAAAAATAAAAAATGAGTAAATAACTTAATAAAACTTAATCAGTATGTCTAATGAATATTAGTACAGTGAAACCAGTCCAAGACGGAGCTGGATAATCCAAAAAACTGGGTAACATAGAATTTGAGCCCGGTCCCGACATACCGCTTAGCATGTGTCTTTTACTGAATGAGATGGAAAACTGGTTAATACCAAACTTTCTTTCTATCTATTCTTCTCTTCTGTGATTGTTTCATCTTGGATAGGGTTCACCGTATGTTACTATTTTTATTTTGAGTTACAAACAACACACTTATATTTGTATTCATATTAATTCAGATTGAAAGAAGTAATTATTTTTTAAATGCAATCGTTCAAACGGCTAAAAGAGGTGAATCAGTTGATGATAGAACTACTGCGTGTTTACTCTCTGTAAGTTCATCACTAAAATAGTTGTATTTCATAAAAATAATTTAAATATTTTTATTTAATAAAGAAACCGATTGAAGATGGAGGTCAATGGGATATGTTGGTCAACATTATTACTAAGTATGGGCTTATGCCAAAGAAAAACTTCCCAGAATCGTTTAGCTGTGAAAGTAGTTCTACTGTCAATATCATATTGAACAGCAAGGTAGTATTTTAAAACAGTGTCACATTATAAAAAGTTATTCTGCTAAACCATAATTTTTTTTTTCTAGCTCCGGGAATACGCCATTGTGTTGCATAAACTTGTTAGTGATAATGCTACAGACAATGAAGTCAAGTGCAAAATTGAAGAGCAAATGGAAGTCATCTACCGAATCGTCGGTATTTGTTTTGGTATACCTCCAACTACATTTGAATGGAATTACTATGACAAATCCAAACAGTATCATTCTGTTGGGCCTATATCTCCATTGGAATTCTACGAAAAACACGTTAAACCCATTTTTGATGTAACTGAGAAAGTATGTCTAATTAACTTCACTACATAATATCCTAACCATTCATCAAGTATTTATATTCTACAATTTTTAGCTTTTTAGCTTAAAGCATGACATTGGAAAAGTCGGCTAATTGGTATATTTAAAATGATCTAATTTTTAAAGAAAATGAAATAAATACATTCATTTGCTTCTTATAAAGTTTTCTGGGAATTATTTTTCTTATTTAAACTATGTTTAAGATTATCTAAAACTTCAAGTGCGACTATTATCATACTTAAGAAAAAGTAAATAGTCCGCTTCTTTAAAAAAAGCTAATATATCTGTACATCAGAACTAGCCTACTAACACAAGTCACATTATGCTAAATTTTCAGTATGATAATAAACATAATAAAAAAACTTAAGTTGTCTGCCATTTGCAATTATGAGGACTTACATAACCCTAGTAAATTATAAAAAAAGAATTCTTAACAGAATTATGTTGTTATAGCTTCATGTAAAATTAGATTTCATATGCAAAACTGTTATAACCCGGAAATCGCCATTTTTGTTGTTGTTTGGTTGTGAGGTACAGACATATTGGAAGCCTTTACAGAATTAAAATCAAAAATTTCTATACATTTTTCTAATATTTGTAATATTGCCTACTGACGTAAGTGGCAAAAAATACACGCGATATAATTTTACAAATATATTTTATAATTTTTTATTGTAGATCCGTCATAGTTGATTGAACCGACAGTTCAAATAACAAAAAAATAATGAGTGTTATTCTAAATTACATTTTTTTAAATGTCAACCACAACTTCATATTATATTGTCATAATAATAAAAAAAAATCACACATGATTAATCTGTCATGTATGGTTTTCCATTAAAATTGGGTAAAATACTTGATGTACTCGGTTTTAAGTGCAATTTGCTTTATCAAAAATGTATTATTATTAAATATTACCATTAGGTGTGTTTGATTTCGGATCCGAGACCTAACAACCGTTATGGAAAACTGTACACTTTGGACATGTTAAACAATATGGCTGGAGGGCGAAAAGTATTATACAACAATCAGCCTGTTGAAGTGTTAATTAAGGCAGCACAAGAATCAATTATCAAACGGGGAGAACCAGTGTGGTATGGCTGCCAAGTTAGCAAAAGATTTTCTGACAAACTCGGTCTAGAAGATTTAAAAATGTTAGTCAATCGTCCACACTTAACGAAAATTATTAATACCCGTGCTTGCATGCAGTTTTAGTTTTAATTTATCTATACATTTTTTTATTTTTACTTTTTAGCCATAATTATCAATTAGTATTTGGTACTGATGTTTCGGTCCCAATGACCAAAGCTCAACGTATGCTTTATGGCGAGTCGGCCATGACACATGCAATGGTGTTAACGGGTGTCAATTTAATCGTATGTATATATATTTTAAATATGTATATTTATTTTATCTTACCAACACATTCAAGTCTTGTTTAGTTACACTGAAAAACATAAATGTAATTTCTTAGAACGGCGAACCAAACAAATGGAGGGTTGAAAATTCGTGGGGCGAAGATCGTGGAGACAAAGGGTACCTTATGATGACGACTGAATGGTTCAATGAGTATGTATTTGAAGTTGTTGTAGACAAGAGTCTACTGCCAGAAGAAGTTTTGGCCGTGTTCCAACAAGAACCTCAAGTACTGCCCATTTGGGATCCTATGGGAACTTTAGCATAAGGATGAACTAATAATATATTTTTATAATCATCTTAAATATATAAATAAATTATATTACACATTTTGTAAACAATATATATTATTTAACTACTTTTTTTTTTTTTTTTTTTTTCAAAAAAATGTATACAACATAAGCTACGAGTAGAAGTATTGTTCAAAGTATAGAACATCCACATGTATTTATACTTCTACCAAAGATAATAATTATTTTAAACGTTTTCGTATTTGTTTATCGTAATAAAAAGAAATTAACAGAAGTAATCTATATAACCAAATGATATAAGTAAATTTAATTATATTTTGTAATTTAATATCAGTTAACGTCCATTTGTTAGATTTACATTTAGCAGTATAACCTTTTTGATGATCATAAAATAATATATTATTGTTAACTAAGTTAACAATAATACGCCATGTCACTGTTTACCGCTTTGGTGGTGTGCTACAAGGAAAAAATATAATGCAAACACAAACAAGTTGATTCATAATTTTTTTTATTCATAAAATTCTATATTCTTTTGGAAAATACATAAAACATATACACAAAAAAATGTTTGCTATACCTTTACGTTAATACAAAAAATAAACATAACTTAATACTGCTTGATAGTTTGTACTAATTTCTACAAGGCTACAATTTATAGGTATTTAAATATAATGTATCATAATGGCATAATCTAATATAATGGCCTGCATATCAATTATTATTTTTATTTTTAAATTGTTGATATGATTAGAGATGCTTAAAAATAATAAATGATTTAAGGCACTTTTAGGTAACTAATTAACACTTACTTAAAAATAATTAAATAAATCTACTTTAAGCTGCAGTTACAGACACAGTCTGTCAAAAAAATGTTTTCTGTTTTCTAATTAAAATAATACATAATACAACTCTCTTATTTGGCACATTTCACCTAGTCTTGTAATCACGTTAATGATAAGTATTATTATATTTTTTGTTACAAAACAATAATAGTTGTATCGCTAATCGCCTTCAAAATTTAATACAGTATTAGAAAAAAACTTACAATAAAAATAATATAAATTTTCGTTATTTCACGACGGCAGTCATACCTACATAATATATTATAATAATTGCAAAAACCTATTTTTTGTTTATCCTATCTAACGTCATACCTACATATTATGCGCGCTGAAGAAAGGTATAGGTAAAAAGACTTATGGGAACATTGTAGCATTGTTTTACACCTGACTGCAAGTAAAAATTGTAAAATAGCAAAACTACTTTTGTTAGTTAATCTACGAGAGCGTGGACCCGGAAATAAAGTTTTAGATATGTACCTTTATTTATTAAAAAAAAACACGAGCCGGAGGTCTTGGAGATATAAATTAATGTAAAATTATAATTTAGAACGGCAAAAATCTCGTAAAATAGGCAAAGCAGAATGGCTAATAGCGACTTTTTTTCGAATTCATACAAATTTGGCTTATACAGACTATAAACTATAAATATTAACTTAAATGGTTTTAACTCAACAAATTTGTTTAAATTGGGCGCACCTAAGCGTGCGCATCGTACAAGCCGAATTGCATATCTTCGTGGCTCGAAAAACCGCTATACTTGTTTCGATATATGACTAGAATTTGCCTAATCTACGTGAGCCGCGTTAACAAGTATATGTAATTGATTTCCGTGGCCTCGATGAAAAGATAAAATTCCCGCTAGTACGACTGCGTCGCGCATAAAATTAGAAATGTCTTCTGGCACGAGTTTTGTATTTTCTTATTAATAATTATATCATAAGGTAACAAAACTAAAAGTTGGGCACACGATATTGCCGCAACAAACATCGAAGCCAAACGGGCCTTAATCGGAAATCCAAAAACAATGTTTTCATATTTACAACCCCATACCCTGTCCACCGAGAGAACATGCCGGTTAGGTTAGGTCAGGAGACCAAGCAGCCGCCGAGAACAGGCTGTCAGACAGGGCGGTCTCGGGGGGACGCTAGTGTCACTAGCTGCCGCGCGGAGATGCGCAGAACGGCCAGTTTTCGTCGGTTCGCGGCATGCTCTCTCGGCGGACAGGATATGGGTCCTACAACTTATTGGCGTGTTTTTTTTCAAAGACAGGCTTAAAGTTGTTCGCAAATAAAATTATGTTTGTGCAAGTTTAACACATATGCCGTGGCTTCGACATTTTTACACACACATGGTACGAAAAATAATTTTAACTTTTAAGACTACTACACAATATTTGTGTTGGTTTTGACGTGATTAACTTTTGATTTGACCTTAGCGGTGCACGTCGTGGTAGGTCCGACGGCAGTGCCGGTGGCAACAAAACCTGGCGAAAACGAACCGTTGGTCATCGTGCACCGGGTGCAGCTCGACGACGATTTGGCACCGGTTGCCACAGATACGATAGGTACGGATTGGATAGGAACCGGCTGCGGTACAGATGTTGAGGCGACGGGACTCGTCGAGGCGACCACGGCGTTGGCTGGAATACCGGTGGACACAGTTTGGGTGGATTTGTTTTCTGTGGCCAACGTGTTGGTTTGCTTGAGCAACGTTTGGTCGTTGCACAAGGCCGAGATGAGAGGAAGGTCGAGGTTGCGACTTTTCTCGCGTAACGACTCGATGTCCAACACTGTAGTGTCCGCGGTCATAGTCGATGCCGTGGGTTCGACCACCGCGGACGCGCGTCTAGGACGGACGACGGCCGCCGGTTTCTGTAATCCGGTAATGGGTGGTGGAGGTGGTGGTGGGCGTCTGCGCAACAACACCTTGGGCGGTACCGCGGGTGCGGCAGTTAACAGATTGTCGTGCGAAAACGTCCGCACGGGCAATACATACTCGGTGGCTGTGGGCGCGGGTGCCGTAAACAATTGCAGGTTTTGATTAGAAGCGTACTTGAGATGCGGCGGCAACGGCGGTAAGGGGGGCGGCGGCAACGGTGACATCGTTTGTTGATGGAAATGTGAATGTGGGGGTTGTTGATAGTGGTGATGGTGGTGTTGGTGAGACATAGCGGCCACGTTGGGGGTGCTCCGGTAAAGGTGCGTGTTTACTTGATACGACGGCGGGTCCCGACCAAAGTACCGATGATACTGGCCGCGGGCCGATTTCGCATCTGCGTACTCTTGTCGGCTGACCGCCGGGTCCTGAAGGGGGTACACAACGAAGTCTACGTCAGATCTCAACTGTTGTTTGTACTGTTCTAATTGGTAGTCGAACTGTTTTGGACGCGGAGGTGGCGGCGGCGGAGGCGGTTGTCTGGAGTGTATAAGTGGTGGCGGAGGCACACAGCCGGGGTAGATGTGGTGGTAAAACGCCGTGCCACTCTTGTGTACGTCTAGATAGTTGCTGCTGTTGACGACGCACTGGTGAGTATGGCCACCGCAGAACTTAACGTTAGACAGTAGGTCTAAAGATCGACGAATGTCCCAAGGCGACGGACCGCTACCTCCACCACAGTCAAAGTTGGCCAGCGACAGATTGGACAGCGACGGGGCGCCAGTGACAAAGTTCATAGACGGCGGCGGCAGGGTTACGTAATCCGAATCCGAGTCCAGCGTGAAGCTGGTGGTGGGCCGGGACGGATAGAAGCCTTTGCGGGGCGTCTGCAGTGATTTGCGTCCGACGATCAGGTCGGAGAGCTCTGCGGCAGACAGCAAGGCGCCACGGCCGCCTTCTGACGGGTCGCTGCCGTCACCACGAAAACTGCCCGAGTTGCTGACCATCGATCCACTACGACTGCGAGGCACATCGTCCGCATAACCATCTAGCGCGCACCTATTACCGCAACCTGTGTCGCCGCACTTGGACGTCACCGCGTCACCGTCGGAAGCGGACGTGGCAGTCGTAGCGCGGTACGAACTGTCGCTGACCGATCGACGCCGATGGCCGCGGCTGGACACCGTGTATACGTCGCTGTCGTTGCCATCGTCGTCGTCGTCCGCGTCGCGTCCATCGGTCCTCGTAGATTCGGACTCGACCGCCGGACTTCGGACGCCATCCCGCGCTGTTTCGTAATCGACTCCCGGTAACGAGGTGTAAGCCGAATCTGTGCAATCAGTCGCCGGAACGGTGGACGGCGGTGGTGGCGGCGGCGGCGACAAAGCGTCCGACTTGCTTTCCGACCGATAGCCGACGCTGCTATTTTCCGTGGTGTAAGACGCGGACGTAGTGTCTTTGGCCGAACTATAACTTGCGCAAGTGTACACGCCACTACTAGTATGCGCCGACTGATTGCTATTGTCCACGTACGCTGTCCGGGCTCTCGGGTGTCTATACATAAGGTACGCGTCGCTGCTGTCCTGTGCTGACTGCACTGAATAGTCCAACTCGGACACTGTGGAATTCTGAGTAGTATGACTGTAACCCAGTTCCACGCTAGACGATATGCTTCCATTCTGCAACTGTAAATATTTAAGCATGAATCATGCCAATTAAAAATTGTAAATCAGTCGATAATCGCATAAATCAACTATAAATATTTTTGCGATTGATTTAGCCTACGCGCTTATATACAAGGTGTTCCAGCATGAAAGGTAAGTAATAGGTGATTGGACATCTGAGGGACCCCCATTAATAAGCTCCCCGTTTTCATTTTTTCGATAAGTCAAAAATTGAAGATTTCGACGGTTAAGTAAAAAAATAATGACTTTAAAAAAAAAAAAATTATTCCCTGTTATTCAGTGCATAAGCTCACATTAAAAGAGGGGTCACATCATTTTCAGCCCCTAACTCTTCTCTTATCACTTATCTTATCATTTTTTTCTTACCTCTAGTCTCTAATCATTTATTTCTTATCACTAATATCTTATTATTTATTTCTTATCTCTTGTTTCTAATTATTTATCTCCAAACTCTTATCATTTAGCACCAATCTTTTATCATTCATCTCTAATCTCTCATAATTTATCTCTTACCAATTATCTCTTTTCTTCAATGCTAAGACATAACTCTTAGCATTTATCTTTTATCATCTATCATTTATTTCTGGTCTCTAATCATTTTTCTCTTATCATTTTTTGAGTTAGGGGCCGAAAGGGACTGAAAATGATGTGACCCCTCTTTTGAGGTTAGCTTTTTGAACTGAATAACATGGAATAGTTTTTTGTTTTTTTAGGTCATTATTTTTTTACTTAACTGTCGAAACCTTCAATTTTTGACTTATCGAAAAAATAAAAACGAGGGGCTTATTTGGGGGTGTCCCAGATGTCCAATCACCTATTACTTACCTTTCATGCTGGAACACCCTGTATGTGTGCGTTTTATTGAATACATTTAATTATTATATGTCTATGGAAAGTTGGCAGAAGCTGATAGTCCCTTTTCCAACATGAGGGAAAATACAATTAAAGGTTTTAAGTAAAATGTATTTTTGAGCATTAGCTCAATTACGAGAGCACCCGCCCATACAATATGTTGCTACTTTGGGTAATACATTTTTTAAAACATTTTAAATTGACAAAAAGTGTCATATTAGCTGCTACCACAGATGTATTTACCTTGTCTTTGGGCTTCTGGTTACCGGTGGAAATGCTCGAATTTGAACCACTCTCGCACTTCTTATCCAACGTGTCGCAGTTGTTTAGTTTCATTTTCTTATCGTTCGTCCATTTCAGTCCATCGAACGAATTCTTATCTATACAAACCAGAAATGATTAAAATCACACAATTATTAACCTCATCTACGTCAGTTATGACTTACCCGAAGACGTGTTGTTGATCAAAAACGTATCCAAGAGTCTCGGGTGTACAGTCATACAAAACTGATGAGTATCCCGACACAACGCCAACAGACGCTTGCTCTTCTCGTCAGAATTCGTATAGTACACTAGCCTGTCCGCATTTGAAGGCCTCAGCTCGAACTTTTTACGCTACAAAAACAAAATAAACCGTATAACGTCATTATAACATTCAGCGAAAACATAATATAAGTTAGTGTACTCACGTCGAAGCACAATTTGACAATATTGTTCCACAAGAACAGACAACTAAGCGCTTGTGATAGACTCTCCTGAAACATTATAGGGTTATGGTTTACAGAGCACATTACAAACAAATACCTTGTAAATAGTTATATCCTAAAAACACTCAGAGCGTTGACAACGAACGCCATATGGACATCGGCGCAGTATAACAAAATAGTACAGTACGTCGTAACTCATAATGGCCTCAGTATTTTGTCGAACAACTCGAGTAATGAAAATATTTACAGCAACGTAGGCTAAATAGGATGCACGTTACCGAGTATCTGACAGATTTATACATACAAAGTGAATGTAAATCTGTCACATTATCGCGAATAACATAGCATTATAGTATTGCTCTCTTTTCGAGTCGGATGCAAAAAAGTCACAAGAGACGGTCGAGAACGGGTCACACAAGAACCAGACCGATCATAAGCTTATTATTATGTCAATCGCTTTACTGATGTTACACCGTAACGATAAATCTGTTTAACCAAAGTGCATACGATAATAGTCGAATGATAATTTATTTCTGCTTGATATACTCACGTGGAACAACTGTATGCCGTTGGTGCATATGGCTAGCCACACGCTGTTGCATATTGATAGCGCCGTGCCGGCTGTCTGTTTCGGCTGCGACTTGTTCAATCGCAACCGATATAAATGCGACTTGTGCACAAGCCCGGCCTCTTGAACAAATAACGTTTGAGCACGACTCTTCGACACTCCTTTGTGGCTCTTGTGCAGAGCGCTCAGTGTCTGCTTCACTTTGTGTTCGTTATTTTTGTACACCTAAAAATCAAATTAAACGTGTGTTGTTTACAAAGGAAATCATAATACGTACAATAGATACGATAATCTATTTATTGTCACGACAGACTATTTGATGAAAATGATTCTATTCGTATCATAGATTTGCGTATTTTATTTTATTTCATCATATCGAAAAAATCGAATAAAAGTGTTTGCCAAAGTTCGGTCGTCAACGAAACGATAAGTTTATATTTGGACGAAAAGGGTAGTCCCTACTAAGAAGTGTCTACTACTAGTGTCCACAAACAGTTTTGGACGGAACGTGAACGTGGGCGAAGCAAGGAGAGTGGCTTTTTCAACGAAGGGTGTTTCACGCCTTGGTTAAGCACCTGCGATTTCATACCTTAGAAGGGAGATACTGCTCGAGGATTTCAGACGAGATGTCCGTGTCGGCCGTGTGATCGCCCAAATCCGCCTGAAGGCCGAGTGCCACCAGAGGCAACACGTTTTGGTCGCCTTCTTCGGTGGTGCCTCCCCTATCTGCGATATTTTTGCGCAATTGGAGATAATAATGTTGCCGAGTGACGTCATCGCTGTTAAACGCAATGTATATTTCTTTAATTATTACATAGGTACAACACACGGGTGAACATAATATCAACACACTATCATTACCGTATGGACTTTGTGGTATCCACGTAGAACTTGACGCGTAAGTGCAACTGTAATAGCGGCTGTCCATTTTGATCGAGACCCTGGAGGCAAAAATAAAAATACTATTATAGTAATTATTAATGCGAATTAATTATTAATATTCATTCGGCGATGTGCGCTGTGTGGGGGGATGGTTAAACCAGTTGATAGTATTGTAAATTCACGTTTAAAGTATTTATGTCTGCGAGCAATGATGATATATATTAATATAGGTATAATATTCAAAGCCGTAAGACATACATATAATATTTGCAAACTGCAATCGTTCAAGGTTGAAATATTATGCATACCTATTATAATGGAAGTAAAGTGTCATTGACATTCTAGCAACTTAAAAATCCATTACGTCGTATAGATTTTATGTACGTACGATGTACATCTAAATGGCCTACGATAAAGTTAAACGGTTGCACAATAACATATTATAACTGTCCACCTTCGTATAACGACGTTTTATAGAAACTTACTGATGTGATATTTGTTTTCCGTGACGAACTTGCTTATTGTTTTTATTTATTTTTAACTTAAAATCAATTTATCAAAATTAGCTGTTACTAATGGGTGTTCTGTTTTTCAAATATATTATAACATCATAACAATTTTGTTATTGCATATAATTTGTGTGTACTTAGTACTGTTTTTATACTGTACAAACCGTTTTATTTATATTAAAATACTTATAAAATGCGAATAAGTGTTTAATCACAAAAACCAGTGCCACACCAGCTTAAAACGTGCGATACATACTAATAATACAGTTTTATGGAGTCAATATTGTTATTGATAACATAGTTTACTTTCATATGGAACTTAAAGAATTAACAATAAGTTCCACCCCTTTAATAATTAATAATAAATTACATTACATTTTTTTTTAAATGTGATATTGAAATTTTCGAAAATTAACTTTAGAACTCAGAAATTTGTTTTTTAATCCCCGGAAAAATGTAGAATAATAATCGTAAAAAACCTCCTATGACCGTGGGGATCACTTTTTAACGAGTTCTAATAATAGAATAAACAAAATGTCGTTTTTGTTTTAAAAATATTGACCTAATCGTACATCTATATAGGCATTATAGATAGGGGACATTGTATTAAACACTCGGTAATGTTAAATAACCATTAAGTAATGGAAACTATACTTTAATGTCTTATTCAAAAAGACGTTAAAAATGTACTTACATATGTTGAAGAAGATTTCCAACTTTTTGGTGAATACTTTGACAATTTACTATCAGGATCGGCAAAAAAATATTCTTCGTCTAGAATAAAAAAAAAATGTATTTAAATTTCATTGCATTCACTTGAGTTGCTTATTTAAGCGCCGCACACAGCACCAATGCGATTAATAAAATACATGTTTTATTTGTAATAACTTATATGCGTTTAGACTTTAGTCAAAGGCTATTTTATTGCTGGTTTAAACTTAATAATAATAATATAATTAAAAAAAATTAAAATGTATTCAAGCATCTTAGTTGGCCATAATAATAAGGTATCAACCGTTTGAAGTTGATTTTTAAATAATAAAGATGATATGAATTACACAAAATATAGTAGACTCTTAGGCTAATTAAAAAAATAACAAAAAGAGGAATTCGTTATACATAAAACAAATTTGTACATTCTACAATTGATTTTTAATGGTATTTTATATTTTATTTAAAAAATTAAAAAACCCTAAATACACCAAGGAAATAAAGGCGCTTGAAATAAAAAATATGTTTTCAAATGTTGTCTTGTCACCAGTCACAAAGTATACATTAAACAAGAATTGTATATAGCTAACTTTTAAGTACTTTCAATATAGTGATTTTCAACTAAAACTATCGCTTGATCACAAATGATTACATACAATTATTATTTTAACTGTTACACATTTTTGAGATATTGTAAATACCTACATTTTTTAACAGGGTAATTGAATTGAAAAACAATTAACTCACCTAATATAAAAGCTAGAGCGAATAGTTCGATGTCCTGCATTCCTTGACTTATCATGTAAGTCGTAAGCTGCGAGTAAACTTCCTTTACCCGAGATTTACCCTGCAAACAAACAAAGGCATATTATTCATTCAAAATTATAAATTAACAGAAGTTTACAACTAACGAAACTATGTTATCAGAAACAAATTTCTTTTAAAAAGTTCAACTTTCACAATACCGATTGGGATGTACTGATATGATCGTGTCAACAATTACACGACCAATTCAACGGGCGCTGGGCAGTATCAGCTACGAGTTAAACGTTTTTGGTCGAGGTCGTGGAAAATAATAATTTAAAGGAGAAGAAAAACAATTAATTAGTGTCTTCAACCTCGCAAAAAAAAAAACCCCGCTGTCCGAGTAGCGTCTCTCTGGCGCATATCTTTTGACCTTCATACATGCGGGAACTCGAAGAATTCTCGGTGTTCGGGCAGCGGCCGTCTGCGACAATATCAGATTCTTATTATTATCATTATATTATAATGTGTTATGCGGAACACAATTCGAAAAAAGTGTAGTAGGTCATAATAGATATTTTTGTATTGTTAGACGCGTATGTGTCGGGCGGATATCCCGAATTCCGCCGTTTCCGCGCGAGAAGCGGTTTGCTCCAGTTTCGTTTTATTATTGTATATCATATGTGTGTGTTTTTTCGATACATCAGGGCCGGCCTGCCTATTGTTGCGGTATGCCGTTTTGCCATTCTGACGACAACGCGCCGTACGTTTTTCGACAGACTCGAGTGAACGTGTCTACCGCAAATACCGACTAAAAAAGTTGCGCAACAGACAAAAAAAAAAAAAAATACCGAGTCCTTTTATAATTCCGGTAAACAGAGTAAAATATTTTTTCCATACTTTTTCCGCGGATTATTCTATTGCAATGGCGACAATTAAAATACATCACGGGATAAATATAATTGTTTTAATTCGCTCACCTCAACGACGAAGTACAATGATTGGCCGGTGAGCAGGTGGACGGCAGCGAACCGGTTTTGTTGGCTGACAGGCGTTGAAACAGACAGTAGAGGGCCGCTCACTGTGCTGGCGCTCCGCATGCTAGCTCGCCCGACGCCTACATTTCGCGCGCCCACATAATATTATTATCTGCAACTGATATAACACAGGCGACGTTAAAACATATCTAATACTAAGTAACAAAAAAAAAAAAAAATAACAAAAATGTTAAATCAAATAAAAATATAGCAACTCGTTTTCGAACAAAGAAATCATTTCTTTCTTTTCAAAACTTACACCGTACTTTTCGACACATTTTTTCGAACTGTTGCTAATGGCGAAAAATTCCACCGGAATCACTCAAAAAGTATAAATGGCAACCTGTGCTGAAAATGTTTTAAAACAATTGGACAAACTAGCATACAACTTCATAAAAAAAAAAAAAAAATTAAGCTCAGCTTTATGATAATGTAAGTCTGCCCTTTTGAGTCAATTGTAGTGATCGTACGCACAATGTGAGTAAAATTATAAAACGGCAATAAACGGATCTATACCTAGGTATAATATCTAGATGATTATTTATACTTCAACGGATACCAACGTTTATAAAATGAGGAACATTTTAAATATCTTAATCAAATGTAAATACCCTGTGAGGAATGCTAGATATTTCCATCGCGATGAATTCTAGTTTACTAATAATTATACACGTAAACGAATATAATATATCTATAAAAATGATAGTAGAATAAATTACAGTTTTCTTGTTCAAGGTCAGAAATGTACCTGTAAAACAGGAACGCCGCGAACGTCAGAATTTCATTGAAATAATGTATTTTTTTTTTATCAAAGCATAGCAACGAGCTATACATACTTTCATGTAATAGTAATACAGACGGCTAGCGAGAAGTCGGTTAAAACAATAACTTAAAACAAAAACCTTAAATAAACGTATTAACTACAAGTTGTAAATAATATAATACAAATCCAACGCCTATATAGATGATTGTTTATACTAAATAATTTATTTTTTAAAGTACATTAGAATTTTCCTACTAAAATAAAACCACCAATGTCACTTTCACAGCCTATAGAATATATGTTTACACAAATTGTATTTTTCTTATTAACTATGAGTTTTTAATATTAACCCTAGAGATAATATTTTGTGCTGGCTTGACAGGGCTGTTCTTTGTCATTGAAAGTTCAAAATTACCTTTCTTACTCGCTTTTATGAATATAATCAATATATTTTGTTTAATTATATTTGTATTATTTTATTTATATTTTAATTAAAAAAACAATAGTCTACATATTTATTCATATACAATAGTTTTTTATGGTTATATTATGTAGCTATAGTATCAAATCTATAAATTATAGATAAATTATGTTTGTCATAAGTATTTCAATTGGTATGTTTTAAATCAATATATCGGTCGTTCTATTTAAAATCCAAACAAAACCTTATATATTTATTATCATAGTAGTTGTTATGTCTTAGTCCAGAATCCAGGTCTTTAAGATCTTCGCTACTTTTCAAACTTCTCTATTCATTCTATTTCATAGCCAACTCCTGACTCCCAGTAGAGGTCTCCACTGACCCGGTCAATCCAACACTTCTTGGGCGTCTAAGGACCATTAAGCTTCCATTCGGTGATATCGCTGTCACACAACCTTCGCTCTCCAAAAAATGCTTGGCTCAGTCTTTTCTCTGGTTTTTTGAGGACCGCTACAATCTTCAGTTTATTTAACTATTTTCCTAGTTTTGTGGGTATTTCGATCACACTTTTTATTGTCGATATTCATTTTGGGTCCATAAATCGTATTCTACGTAGTATTTTTCTTTCAAAAATGTATTTTTATTAGACCTAATTTAAATATTTTGTACACACAGTCCGTCACAAACGTTTTAAGAAAAATGTTATTTAATGACAACAAATAATTGTCGTGAAAGAATTTTTATTACTCTACTCATGTACGTGCATTCTAGTTAAAAGTTTTTTGGATAATAACTTTATTTTGAATAGTGACACTAGGGGGAAATAACAACTCTATTACTGGCTGTAAATCTTTAGCTCTCGTCGTGGCTTTCTGATCGTACGTTTATTTTTACCTACTCCCGTCTCTTAAGGTATTTATTATAAAAGCCAAAATACAATTTTATTTGTATATACATTTACATTAATTATCGTAATGTATTAAGATTTATTGATAATAAAACCATCTTAGTGGAGGGAAAAAGAAACTACACTATTATATTCTACCCACAATATAAAAATGTGGTATGTTAATTTTTTTACTGTAATTCTAATTACACTACATTAAATCAAAAACCTAGCAATAAATAATATGATATTATGTAATATAAAGTATTTATTTGTAATGAGTAGATATCAGTTATTATTAATTGTAAGTTTGAAATTTCGTAACAACGAACATTCATGAAAGATAACAATAGATAGTATAAGACATGCTCTCCTGAAAAATGGAAGTATGCATATTTCATAGGATACTGAAATCGTTATGAGTCTGTGTCTGCTTGGAAGTTGGTGGAAATAAAATCAAAATTTGATTCCTTGTTTGCTTCAAGGCTCGAGAGACGATTCTCTTCTTATCGCCATTTACTCCTTAGTATAAATATTGATACCTTTTTAATTATTACGTAGGATTTAATTAGATGACACTACACTAGTGGTTCTAAATTGTAGTTAATAACGCGTATGTAATTTTTTTCGAGTCTGTCAATTTGAAATACGTTTTACAAGTAGGTACTATTTATCGTACTCGAGATCGGTATCGAACCGCTGTTGTTAAAACATAATATTATTATTATTTATTACCACAGCCGTAGAATATGGTTTATTGTTTGTGCACAACATTTGTTTCGGAATTAAACATTTATCTATAAACGATAAATATTTTGACAAATATATAATAAAACTACTGTCTTCTTAGATTTATGTATGAAATGCGTAACAGTTTAATAATTGTGTTGCGGTATCCAGCACAAGAGAGACGACCGACGGGGAACGTACATAATATACGTGTTTTAAGCATATTATGTACACAACTACAGTCTTAGCTCAAGAATGCGGTTGACCATTATATATTAATGTATAATGTTATATATTATGCTTTATGATTATTACGATGATGAAGATGATAATGATTTTGACGTGCCGTATACGTAATACACGTTAGGACATAAACTACAGACTTCGGTTCATTTTGTACCATACGCCCGGCCAACGGGCCATGGATATGTGCATGTACATAGTCTATGGGTTTCTAGTCGTGTTCGGCATATCATTTTTTTTTTTTTTTTTGCTTGCGTTAGGTCCGTACGGCGTGGTGTACACGCGGATATGGGTGGTGGTTCGACTGCTATACGAATACACTGACTGACAATAAATTACCAATACGTAGGTATTCCAAACGTGTCATCTTCGGGCACGCATAGATACGCGTAGTGTCTATATAACATGTTGCAACGTTTTTGGTCGGAAAGAAAATAATATGATCTCGGCGATTGGCTTTTTTTTTTTATTAATAACCCATTGTCGACCGCGCTTTGTTGTATTCCGCAAGCGTTTGAATACCAAATGTTAGTTAACATACTTCGGGAGAAAGTAAAATTCTATCGCACCGCCGACATCTCATAAATTCCGACAATTACTCGTATCTATAATTTTAAATACCGGTATAAAACAATAAGCACGGCGACCGCGACTGCCGTCACGATGGATAATAACGACCGTGTATAGGAGCTGCTTTTCTGTTTTTTATGATAATTACTGGTAAAAAATAACTAAATTCACACATTAACAAATACCTTTCGAAAATAAATGTTCTTGCTTCAATGCGGATGTGACGGCATTCGCGTGTTGTGTTCCAGCTTTGATTTGGTTTTTAAAATTATGTTATTTTTACACTAGAAGTTAACAAAGTGTTGGATCGATCCAATAATTTCCTGTACAAGTACAGCTTTCAAATTGATTAAGATCTAAAAATTAAACTTAAGTACAACTATTTTTGTGCCCACCTATAATAATATTATATATTATAGACGGGAGCGGTTAAATAACTCAGGATTGATTTAATTATGTTAATTATTTTTTATACTCATTATTATATGTATGTTAGGTTTTGTTCCATTTATTAAATTATTAAAGGTTAGTCGTTCCTTATTTGATGATCGTTCTCTTAGTACAGAGTAAAAATTAATTAGCTTTACGGATTGATATTAGTTATCTTTCACTCCTCAAACAAATTCTAGATCAGCATGTCAGCACCAGATCCTGTGTAGAAAAAACCTCGAGGCAATATTTAATTATAAACAAATTGTTTAATTAATTATACTATAAAATATGTTTATACAAATAGTTTTTATTTCCAGTTTCCAACCCCTAAGGGTGTTTAAAATAATTGCTTATAACCTAACTTAGTTGTGTATATGTACTAAATTAATATATAAAATGACAACATAATAATTAATAATATTATGTATAAATCTTAAATAAAACGTAAGAGTAATGAAATCAGAAAAAAATGGCTCGCAAATAATCACATCATTACTCTTTAACAAATTATTAAATATTTAGTCCAGACAAAAACCTATCAAATAACATATTATTAACGAGCTAGTGAGAACAAAAGAATTCCTGGAAACGTAATCATCAAGTAAATTAACACTGATGTATTTATAAAAATATATATATAATATATACACATAGATAATGATTGTTTTTAGTACAATCTTTCTGCTGACCGAAGTTTTATACATCCGTTAGAACATCTCTTCCGGCTATATTTTGTACGTTACTGGAGATGGTAATGTATATTTAACAACCGTTTTCCACGTTTATTTAAACAATAAAGATATTTTTTTTTTGGCATTAAAAAGTAACTAGATGTGCGATTTCAAATAAATAAATAAGCATAATAAGGTTCCATCGGAATAAATACTGACTCATAGTTTTATTTGAATTTGTGCAATTCGTTGTATAGGTAGTACAATTTCAAGACGCCGTCCAGAACACAAGAACTATTCGAAGGCAATAAAGAATGTACTACTGGAAATAATCGAGTGTTTCTTTTTAACTCACCAAATACTTTGTTATTAAAAATAATTATCCTGGACATTTCAAATAGTATAGTAAACGATTGTTTGCGTTTTTATATTACTAAGAAATATCAAATATCTATGGTCTTAAAACGGCACACAAAATTCTTTGGTAAATCGGTCGGCGTTTTGGTGCAAATATGTAAATGCATATTTTTTTCTATAAAAATACAAACCAACAATTTTTGTGGTTTTTATAAAGTTAAAATGCATCATTGGTTTAACTAGAAAGCGGTTGGGGACGGTCAGACCCTTAATTATCTCTTAAAGCTCCCTCAGAATTTCGATAAAAACCAAATACGTTATTTGGCGCTATTCCAGCGTGGTCCACCCACAATTTTAAGCAATAACACATTTTTTTTTTTTAACTAGAAGAAGTGTACAGACGAATTTTAGTTATTCCATTTTCAGGTGATACAGCTGAAAGGATTTTTTTAACCATGAGACGAATTAAGACCTACAGAAGATCAATAATGACCGTAAAACCGATAACGCTAACATAACCGCGAGTTAAGAAACTTACAGACAAAATTTTAAATAAATTTGCATGTGACAAGCCGAGAAAATTGTATATTTCTTTTATCTTACTATTAATGAATACTTGATTAAGTATTTTAATATATAGAACTGAATGTATTTTTGAATTTATTTAAATATTCAATTTAATTATTACAATGTTACCTTTAATAATTAAGGGGTTAAATTTATGGGTTCACCCAAAAAAGCATTCCTGGATCCGCGCCTGACCGCTGTAGTTGTTTTAGGTTAATAATGTTGAATTAAAATTTAAAATGATTGATTATTTTTATTAAAAACGGAAAACCTAACTATTTGTCCCGATTGTCTACAATTTCATTTACTTAACCCTACTTTTATGTAATTGAATAATACCTTACTCTTGAGTTATGGTCCTAAAATTGTAGGTATGTGATACCAGAAATCTAAACAAAATGTAATTACGTGTTATCAACCATACGATCTACGCCAGTCACCGCATAAGTATCTTATGAATCTTTTGTGCGGTGTACAGATATAACAAAAATGTTTTTATTATATAACGCGCGTTCTGAATGCGGTTTATCGACATAAGTTTACCGCGGTTTTTTCGACTCTCGAGATTTCAACGCAAGTGCATGAAATAACATAACACAGATTCACTGTTATATAAAACGGCTTCGGTCATTCCACGACGGTCAATGCGTTTCTTTTTACCGGTTTTTGAATTGCCGTGCTTTTCTTGTAATAATCCCTCGGATGAAAAAAATCTTTTATAACGCCATAGTTGTTCCATTGTTTTCGTTTTAGTCCCACCGTTTTACAATAAAATACTATCCATAGTTACTATATACGAATGTACGCGGTCAAAGTTCTAGCCCCTCCGTATCCGCGTTATAAATTTCATTGCCAGACAAAAATTGTATACATATATTTTATTTCTCCATTGCACTTTTAAACCACAAAACATAATGCCCGACTTGTGGTACGTGGAAACAAATATTTTTGCCGAACCGGTTCTGCGGCGGTTTAGAAATAAAATGTGATCACGCGTATCATTCTTCGTTAAACCCGGCTCGGCGTCGTTAGGAATAGCATTAATTGGCGAATACTCTAGCATGTACCTTAAAACGCGGCCGTCGCGCCTACGCTTAATTATCGCACACGCCATAACAATAATATAATTGCACAGCCATTACTACTCTCCTTCAGATAGATCGGCCGCCAACAGAAATTGTTTGTTTTTTTTTCTTCTAAACGGTACAAATATTTCTACCATAGCAGAATTTCAAGATGGTCAGGGAGATCTCGGCGCTAGGGAAAATAAATACGAATTAAAGTTTACACACACACACACATCCGATAGTAAATAATGCTTAATAGGATTGAGCGTGGTGTGTATGTGTGTGTGTGTGTGTGTGTGTGTTTGATCAGAGCGCTGGAGAACTCGGTCGGTGCAGATGAGATGAGGCGAAGAGTGGCGGCGGCGGTGTTGGTGGACGCGCGATGGTGATGAGGTGGTAGCGGATTGGCCGCGGACGAAGAGGTGGAGGTGTGGGGTCACGAGCCGACGACATTCCATCGTACGGCTGTGGGGAGGGAGCGATCCGGCCCTGGAATGCGGTCGACCTTTTTTACCGCCGCGCCACCCGTCTACCACCGCCGCCGCGCTATCCGTACATAGTCGCGCGCGTATATACCCAAACCCCGGTGCGGACCAGGTGCGTGACCAGGTGCCGACCATACAATACCTATACGCACTGGTTGGACGACCGGCTAGCTGGCGCGCGCGCCTGCCCGTATCCGTAATCTCGGGACCACTGCAGCAGTGTAATAAATAAATTATATATATATATATATATATGTATGTATGTATGTAATGTATATGTATATATATATATATATCGCGGAAAAGCATATAAAAACGGAAATCATTTACGACGCTGTTTTCTCCGCCGTTAATGGATTTGTAACGACAGCGTCACCCATCTCCTCTAACCTATAATACCCCAAAAATTGATAGGTACTCGATCGACTTTTCACTTAGCTGTAGGTATTGTCTAAAACCATTATTGATTATAGGTAGTTATAATTTAAAGTCAATGCTAATACAGATCATAGAAAATATTTTTCAATGCTACACAGTCGACTGAGGGATCAGCATTCCAAGGGGTTTACGACCTCGCCGATAAACGCCAAGGCTTTAACTCTATGCTTTTATTTTTAAAAAAATAATTAATACCGGGTAGTACGTACCCTGTATATTTTGTAGTGTTAGCCTGTAAAGTAAACAAAGCATAGTTGACAATAACCTGGGTTTCTTTTAAAACTCGGTTCATTTTTTTGAGTATGGATAAAAACCAATAAACCCATATCTTTGGACAAATACAAATATTTTCCGAGTTTGAGCAAAAAAAAAAAGAAGTTTGTTGACGCTGAAACGTTAGCGAAACAAATTCAAAAACCCGTAAAGGATTATTTTTGGTAAACAATTGAAACGTCAAATGTGCAAAATATATAGCAGAGTATCATCAACGCGCGTGTTCAATGTTAGAGTCGACCGGGCGTTGTCGAAATTAGGTTTCTTGGACGTTATTGTTTGCAAAACAATATTTTTGACCGTGTGAAATTTCAACGACCTTGCTAAATTATTTACTAATTGTCGGGTATTAGCGCTTAGTCCGAGAAAAACTGACAGTGTTACACTAATTAATATGCAGTGTTGTTTTTGTCAAACCCGACGAGTGAAGGTATATTGCATACACAATGCATAATAAATATAATTGTATTGTAAAACACTCACGTGGTTAATTAACAATTCCGATCGGGCAGCATCGAATGCCAGTGCCATATGTGCGACCACAACAAACACGTTGTTTTCATTACTTTTCTATCCATAGCATATATATATATATATATACACACAGAATATGTTATATATATATATATATATTTTAGCAGCTGATTATAACGAGACTCGTAGCCACGGTTCAGCGATTCACTTTCAGTACTTATTCGCTGAATTGACTGAGTTTACCAAACAGCAAAAACGTTTTCATTACTGTTAATAAAAACTTTATTTTTTTTAACATGAATTCAATACAGCCTTTAGATAAAGAGTTAGTCAGCGGGACCTTCAAACTTCTGTTTGCTGAATCTGTAGGCCGTAATGTCATACAAATATGTTCTGAAAAGGTTGGTTTGTTGTAGTTTATAGATGAAAACTACGAAAACACATTATTTACAGCACACATCGGTTAGGATATACATCATACATAAATATATATATATATATACATATTATATATTTATGGACCGGTAATAACGTGGGCGGCATATGGTAACGCGATTATGTGGTTGGGTCGAAGGGGAAATTATAAAGTTCCATTAGATCAGGTTACAACGATTTACTGCCAAAACAGGTATCCTGCATTCGTATTGATTAACTGTGGCCGTCCGATGCAAAGAATCTGCCAAATGGCCTCTGGAAGAGTCGACCTAATAATTCGGAGAACTTGGAAGCCTAGCGTGGTCCAGACCATAAAAATAATACTCATTTATTACCAGTGTATATTTTGTTTTTACGGCCTTGGCTTGCCCGGAAAAGTTTCTAGAAATATATACATAGTAATACGAAAAGCTAAAATTTAACAAACGCCACACTGTAAATGTGTACAGACGCATCAATTTTAATTTATAATAAATAAATATTTACTAACATGGTTGATTCGCAATAATATATCGAATTTCAATGTTGTCGAATATTATACGTCATAAAACATTGATATTTCTTTTTTTTTCTTACTATGAATTAGGAATTCAAACAATTTTACCAGAAAAAAAAAACACAACCTAATACGCCGTCTACGCTGTTTTCATACTTGAACCGCTCTACAGAAGCTTAGAGGTACAAAGTGAGAGTTGACACCTCGTTATATTGAAATTCCAAGAGAAACGAGTTTATTTCCTGTACACCAATTGAATACACGATGCACCTATGTAATATAAACATTCATACGTGTAATTTATACATAATTTTGTTTTTACTCTTTCAAATTAGCTAGTTCGGATATGCCGATAATTCCAACAATTTGTTTATTCATGTTTCTTCTATCACGCCGAAGATAAGAATCATTAAGTAGACAGCTTACGAGGACTAGGTATATTGTAAGTTTTTTTTTTATCATTCCAGAAACTCCCTCAAAGCTGTCGATTCTTTTCAATAAGGAGTATCAAATTCGATTAAAATTTAAACGGTATTTTACGGACACCGTAAAAACGCGACCAGCTCAACTCAATGCACACTCAATAACACAATATTTGTTTGACACACTCCAAGACCTGGCCATGTGTACATATATTCTTATTTACCTTCATCGGCTAAGCGGCTATGATATCGTGGATGTCTCGACGTATCCCGTCGACATCCATAGGTTCGGTGTGTACGCATACGGGTGGCACGACGTATTCACGTTCACGGGCACAGGCACACGAACAGGGGATAACGAACGTATACAAGAAATAAATAGGAAAACGAAAAACAAAAACGTTTTCAGTCACTAGTTTACTCGGCCAAGGGTAGAAAAAAATTGGGCGCGAAACAAAAGCGGCGGCGACCACGAGCGTGTGGCTCTACGGACTTGCGGCAGCGACGTCGTGGACACGGCGAGTCGTCTGTTGCACTGAAATCTGAATTGGCGGCGGCGTCGGCCGTGCGGACACCGGGAGAGGAGGTCGAGGCTATACCTAAACACACCGCCCCAACGTCAACCGGTACTAAACAAAACTGAAACCGAACGATACCCCCACAACGACGGTAGTGTGCACGCGCTATGCGATGCGATGTGATGTGTATACATATGATTATTATTATTATTATTGTACATCTTATATTCTTATCACCACCAGACGTTCTTAGAATGCATTCAAATCCGGTCTCGTGCATCGGCGTGTTTGGTGTTTACGTTTTTAATCCGGCGAATTTAGTAAATTATCTAGCTATTGCCTATTTACCTACGCGTGTAATGTACGATAAATGTATTATTCTGCGTATTGTTTTAATTTATTCAACTTTTAAACGAGACAAGCTTAAAAATCGTAGCTATTTAGTGAACATGGCATTTTCTAGGTCCTCGGTGGACGATAGTTGTAGTTCAGCTAGTCGATTCACTACTTTATCTAATATCTTGAATACCCACCCTTTTCTGAATAGACCCTTCCATAAATTAATTAAGTAAGTAATTACGATATGGTTAAGACGGTTTATTGATATATATTTTTAAATTGAGTCATATCTATATTTATCTAAATATCTATTAATTAATTTAATGTGATTCTGTTTTGTAAATGAGGATTTGCGCTAATTTTCATTTGAATAATTATTTAAATAAACATTTTAATAAATGATTTTTTAAATGTTTATGCTATTTGTTTTACACGACATATTATACAATTTTCACAGTTTTTTCTAAATCTCTCCACACTTACTATATTCAACATCATCACTTATTTTAGGAAAAATGTTAATAATATGGCCAAAACCAGCAAATTTTTAATTAAACAAAATTAATATTTTATTTTTATGCAATATTTTTTTATATAATAAACTACTGTACGATTAAAATATTATACACGAGATTTCTTATTTATTTCTTCAAAATAGGACAGTTAAGTATTCTTGAAAAAATAAGCCCAAAATAAAAAATTGTCTCAAATAGGCGTTCACTAAGGGCATTCAATTCATACTTATTTCTCTTTTTAGTTGATAAACTTAAACTATTGATGCCCATCTTGTTTGCAGATGACTTGGTGGATGAGAAGCGATAGGGCCTAAACTAGAGCAAAGGAGAGAGACGACGGAGAATTATGTGTCCACAGATTCGCATTGAATGAAAATATGTATATTTTTAGGGTGTTTAGTTCTATTATGAACTGGAAGAGGTGAACTTTTTTAACTTTTTATCTAATAAAGGACTATGGAAAAATAGAAAAAATATATACATGGTAATTAATTTCACGTAATATCAATTTTCTAATAAAAAATTGTGTAACACCACTTATTGCTACGTGAAGAAATCGGTCAGGTCCGACGGTAAAAAACTTAGACAAATATTCAAAAGTTAATGGTTAAGAAGTCATCGTTAGTCGAGTTAAGACTGTTGATAATAAATATATGGATAGGCCACTCATATTCTTATTCAAGTCATGTAACCATATAAATGATGTGAAGTACATTAAAAATTTTGTTTTTTGTTTAAAATGTATACATTTAATCATTCTTACACGTATTTTTAAGCTGTTGTTTGCTTTTTTAATTTACGAAAACTCTAATGTAATTAATACAGGGATTGAAAACGTTACCAAGCCGAAATTTATATTACCTATTTGTTAAAACAACAGCAAATGTTAATTTTAGACAGTTGGTATGATAGCCTGAAAGCTTATCTCATTTTGAACTTGTAAAAAAACCAATTAAAAACATTTTTAAGTTAAATTCCGTTTTTCGGAACGATTTAAAATGTTGTTCCTGTAACGAAACGTTTATATTGCTAGAAAAGCATAACTTAATTGTAAATTTTTTTTTACAAATACTTATCAGTTAATCTACCATAAATCATTTTAATCATGGTAAACTTTGGTTTGATAACGTTTTTAATATCCAAAACATTTTGGCAATTTGTTTTTATTAAATTGTATCGACCCAAGGACGTGGATTTATAAATCCCCACCTTGCCACGACCTCCTACAGTGCCAGTATAGGCATACCTATACATTTTTTTATTATCTATAGTGAAGTCCAGATACGAAAAAAATTAAGTACATCATTGTAAAACTAATACCTCTCAGCTAAAATTAATAGATTAAATTATAATTAATTAATGTTAAAACTGTTATATTTATTAATTTAATAATTAATTAGCTTCATCAGTTTGTAATGTTATCATCGGGTATAATCGAGCAGCTGTGGTGATTGACGACTACTTAACTATCGATGGCTGAGGGAAAATCCTATTATGCATGGAGGCAACTCTACCTCGGCAGTGTGGCAAATGAGAGGAACACTTAAAAAACTCAATCTACAGTTGTACGAACCACCAAGGTTGCACTGTCGACGAATATTCATCGAACGCGGTAACCCGGGCACACTGTTTAGACCTGCCGACTGCATCCGTTTGATCCAGTCATGGTATCGGTATATGGTATGGTCGTTCTACTTAAATGCGATAAAAAACAACAACAAACCTAGTGTTAATACTTAATAATAAAAATAATAATAAAAAAAAAAACAAAATGGCAGTGGTGGCGTCAATGCACTATAGGTACAGTGTGAGTACTGTGTAATATAAGTGTGTGTGTGTGTGTGGTGTGGTTAATGAGAGGCGGAATTACGGGTCTTTGAAAACGTTTGTAGAAAACAAATAATAACGTGACGAAAACACAGTCTATGTGTGTATATAACTAAACTGTAAACGAAGGTGACGGTGAATTCGGGAATCGGCCAACGGTGTGTGCGTTGCATCAGCCACATTACTGTGTACGATTTATGTGTGTGCGTGCACTGAGTACGGACTTCGGGGCCACTACGCAGCAGCAGCGGTAGATTAGTAGATACGTCGTTCGCACAGCCAGAAAAAATTACTGATACACACCGACACACGTATATACATATTATGTATAATAGTTTTCATACATTATAATAATATAAAAATTATTGAAAAATCGACTGGGACGACAACGGATTTTTTAGTATTGTTCACACCTAATCATTGTTGTTTTTTATTATTATTTTTATTATATTATTGTTTCGCCTGGCCGACCGGGGCGCATGTTTTTCGCCGCGACGTTTGCCTAACCCAATTGAATTTTCGTTATTGCCAAGAGTACAACACCCCGACCGGGACTGGAAAACAACACACGCTGTAAACATGAATTCGATACTTTCACGTCGTTCGTCGACTAGGTAAACTTTTACATTATCTAGTAATAATATTGTTGGTCTATTTTTATTTAAATAGACCACATATCATACATCACCGCACGCCGTCTACGTCCTGTCTTAAATATAAAGAAATATAGGTTTATGATAATCAGTAAGCATCCATGGACTGTAATTAACTTTCGCGAGCAAATAAATGTTCAAAACAAAAGTGTATTTCATTATTTGCTCTTGATTTTAATTTTGTTTTAACAATGTAGATGATTTAAAAGAAAATACTGGGTGTTATCACAAACTATGGCAGACGTGTTGCAGTCTCTTTGTAATCCTCTGCCGTTGTCATCAAGTCAATCGTCCATAGTAAAAGAAGGATGGTTGTTTAAGCGAGGTAAGTTTGTCTACTGCAACATACATAAATATAAATAAAATATAGTACATTGTCTTGTATTCTCAGGTGAACACATAAAAAATTGGAGGTCCAGATATTTTATACTGTTTGCTGATGGTTCGTTAATGGGCTACAGAAATAAGCCCGAAAGTCCCATGACCGAACCTCTTAACAATTTTACGGTCAAGAGATGTCAAATCATGAGTGTAGATCGTCCCAAACCTTACACGTTTACTATACGAGGGCTTCAATGGACAACTGTTATTGAACGAACGTTCCATGTATCATCCGAAAAAGAAAGGTTAGTTCTAAGAATTGCTAGTAAACATTTTTTTATCAATGCTCAGAATGTACATTTTTGACCTGTTGAAACTTGATAAAATTAATCAATAATCTACATTAAGACTTTGTAGTGTCAAAATTAAATTTTCCAATTATTATCTCGGATTAATAGTTGGAACCTAACCTTTTTTAAATACATATTTAAAATATATAAATCATTTTTATTGTTGCCCATTTATTTAACTAATTCTATACAATAAATATAGTTTTAACAACATTATTATTTATTATACTCCGTAGTCTGTGGTTATTAGTTTGTATCCACAAAATAAATATGAAAGCTTATGTACCTACCAATGTTGCTTCCTTTTAAATTAAACATACCTAATTTATTATTTTATAATACACTACTATTATATTTTTATAATTAAAAAGTAAACAATATGTTTTGTACTTAAAATGTATAATTGTTCTCTTAAGATTTCTTGAATTTTCTAGAAAATTGTATAGATGGTTTTATCTAACAACATTAGTTTTGTCACAACGTGGAGTTTCAGGCTAATTTAAAGATCATATGTCTATAGACCATTAAATTAAAATAGTATCAAAGTACATGATTTGTTATCCAATATAATTAAAAACAAAATTAGAGGTCACACTATTTGTAAATATCAAATGTGTTTTATCTAAACGACTTTGATATTGCAAAACTAAAGTATAAAGGTTTTTCAATTTCTTTATTTTATCTAAGAGCTAAAAAATTATTTTGTTTTTTAATTATATTTTAAACAAGATTGGCTTTTTAGGTTAATTATTACATAATATTTTCATAAGTGAATTATATAATTTTTCCTATCAGTGGCATAATTTATAGCGAAGTCTCGGAAAAACCAACCAAAGTAGGTAAATCTGATAAAAAAAAGTCTTCAAACTGGTACCTAAATCCGTTTATAATTTTTAGTTTTTTTTTTTAAATGTATAATAAAGTATAAAAATTAAAAGTAAAATTTTGAAACAGCTGTGTAATTGTGCTCAATAATGAATAAATTGGAAAACTAAACAATCCATACCTCAATCAGCAATCTCTGATAATATTAACTAAAACTGCCTGTTTAAAAAAATATCTTAATTTGAAATTGGGTCAATTAGTAATCTAGATATTGTCTTATTACTTTCTGTACACTTAACTTAAATAAACAAATGTTAGGGAGTCTCTTGATGTGTGGCGTAATGGTCATTATTCATATCAGTGTTCGGTGGCAACCTTAGAATTGTAGCAAAATAACCATGCTCTTTTTCAACACTTTTGTGTTTGAAAACCAAAAAAAAATAAGTTATAACCGACTAGGTTACGAAAAACTAAGTTGACTAAGTAATGAACTCGGTCGACAAAACAGAAAAAAAGAATCGTTGATGGTAAAAACTTATAAAAACAAAAATTATACAAAGAAAACTGTATATTTTGCCCAAGTACAAAAAATGTTAAGTAAAATCCTCTTTAAAAAAGAAATTATGTCTAGGTATACAGAGTGATCCATGAAAAATGAATATTCTGAAGAAAAAAAATGTTCCTATACTACTCGCACTTTAGATGATCTAGACATCTTAGCGAGTCGGCAGCGACCAGTTTCCACCCTTTAACATCGTCATAGTTCGGCGCACCGCCTACTGTGCATACAGATAACTTAGGCAGCGACTAACGAGTTTTGGTCCGCCAATACTTGAAAATGTTATACGTTCATCTCTTATAAGTAAAAGAAGTATGGCCTTTGTTTTTTTAATTGGGAACATTTGGTTTTAATTTCATAAGTATGTAGACAAATTTTATAAAAAAAAATTAAGTATTTTAATTTTTCATCGACCTGTTTGTTTGCTATTACTTAGTAAAGATTTGAATTTATGATCAGTATTTGTTGGTTTTTACAACAGTGCATCCCCAATAACTAATAGTAAGACACTCTTCGATAACACTATCATCTGTGGCAGTGTTTGATTAGTTAGAACTTGGATAAGAACAATATGCTATGTATCTTATCATTATCTCAAAACATTTCATTGTGTTCTCGCCTATCGAACAACGCGAACATAAAAATGAATTTTATGGCTACTAAATTTTAGAAAGTCATGGCAAACAAATAGTTTGATGAAAATTTAAAATTCAAATGCTTTCATTTTTGAATAATCTTTGTCTGCATATAGAAAAAACTTGTGTTCCCATTTGAAAAATGTCGTTACTTGTTTAAAGTATAAGAGATGAAAATATGTACCTGCAAGTATAGGAAAAAAATAATTTTCAAAATATTAATTTTGTCTTAGAAAAAGAGTGTTTTACATCCGTTGTACAGCCTGTACATGATATATAGAAATAATATGTACATGCCATATTATCACTCAAATATTTAATTATTTATTATTTTTGTTCATCAGAGAAGAATGGATGACTGCTATTAAAGGTGTGTCTGAACGTTTGTCTGATGTTGATGAAGTAGAAATGGAAGGTGTCTCGCATTCAACAAGTATGTCAAGCACAATGTCTGGACCTAGTTCAGATGATTTCAGTGCCAAATTTTCCGTTCAAGGAACATCTTCCAGTAAATCTACTGGTAAACGAAAAGTTGTAAGTACTTATTTTATATATGTATATTTATTTATTTATTTAGTTGATAAATAATTAAAACATTGTGTAATATAAGTTTTATTTACTGATGTATTATATTTATAGACGCTTGAGAATTTTGAGTTTCTTAAAGTGCTTGGAAAAGGCACGTTTGGTAAAGTGATTTTGTGCCGTGAAAAGGCCACTGGTCATTTATATGCCATTAAAATACTCAAAAAAGAAGTAATAATTCAAAAAGACGAAGTTGCTCACACACTAACTGAAAACAGGGTTCTCCGCACCACTAGTCATCCTTTTTTAATTGTAATTTATTATTTTTATTATTATTATTATTATAATAGTGTGATACATCTATAAAACATAAAAATAACTTATTTTTAGTCATTAAAATATTCCTTTCAAACGGCGGATCGGTTATGTTTTGTTATGGAATATGTAAACGGAGGAGAATTGTTCTTCCATTTGTCGAGGGAACGTGTGTTTACTGAAGATAGAACTCGTTTTTATGGCGCTGAAATTATATCTGCCCTTGGATATTTACATTCTCAAGGAATTATCTACAGGGATTTAAAAGTAATACAAATAATTGTTACTATTTAAAAAAAAAATGTACTAATGGTTATGTTGTTTTAGCTCGAAAATTTACTATTAGATAAAGATGGTCATATAAAAATAGCTGATTTTGGGTTGTGTAAAGAAGACATCACTTATGGGTCTACAACAAAAACATTCTGTGGTACACCCGAATATTTGGCTCCTGAAGTGCTAGAAGATTTAGATTACGGAAGAGCTGTTGATTGGTGGGGTATCGGAGTAGTCATGTACGAAATGATGTGTGGTCGATTACCATTTTACAACAAAGATCATGACAAACTATTTGCCCTAATTTTGATGGAATCTGTAAGACAATTAACTATTTATTAGGTCATTTTCACATCCGAGAAAGTAGTAATAAAAAAAATTCATACACATGACAAATAACGCACATACTTATCATATTACACGTTGGATGTGAAACTGACCTTATTATTGTTTTTATTAATTATAATTTTAATTCTTATTTAGTATTAAATATTAAATTGTAATAAAAATAATATTAATGTTTTAGGTTCGATTTCCAAGAGGTCTTTCTGCCGCTGCTAAAAGTCTATTAACTGGTCTTTTGATCAAAGATCCTAAAAAACGATTAGGTGGTGGTCCTGACGATGCACAAGAAATCATGACTCATGTATTCTTTAGTAGTATTAACTGGCTGGATCTGGAACAGAAAAAGGTTTGTATTCTTATTATTTATTTGTAGTGTAATTTCTTTAAAATAAAATTGCCATTTTATTGGTTGTCTATTAATTGTAAATAACAAATAAATATGACAATTGCTAAATTTAATTAAAACTGCAAAAGAACTACACAAAAATTATTTTGTTGCGCCCATTTAGATTTCATCAACTTATTATACTGGTATTGAAGAAAATATTACCAAATTTACATGGAAAACAACAAAATTATTTTTGTTATGTTCCTTTGTATTTCCAGTAGCTTTTTTCAATCCTATGCTATAATTCTACAAACAGTTAATACATATGAATGATTATAGATTCCCCCACCATTCCAACCTCAAGTATCATCAGATACGGACACAAGGTACTTTGACTCTGAATTTACGGGAGAGTCAGTTGAGCTTACACCGCCTGACCTATCGTCACATCATCTTAATAGTATTGCAGAAGAAATGGAACAATTGCAACCATATTTCCCACAATTTAGTTATCAAGATTTAGCCGGGTCTATATCAATTAGTGCCAGTTCGTGTTTCAGTCATACGTGAACAAAAAAAAAAAAAAAAAACATTAAAAAATGTAAGTGATTCCATAATTGCTTAACAATTTATTAATTAATTTACAACAAATAATAATTTGACAAAATCTTTTTTTTTGACAATAGGCTATTTTTTTTTTGTAAATAAATTATAATAATTATACAATGTTTTGAACTAGTGAATTTTTTTGAACGTTGGTCAAATACTTATTGAAACTTAAAACACAGAGTCACACGTGTATGATCGTTCAGTATTTATTAATTTTTCAAAAAAACATTTTTCTGTATGTAGTCATTTATAATTATTGCTGTTTCTCTTTTTTTATCTTTATTGTTGAAAGTGTTATTTTTGTGTACATATTGTTGAAAAATTGTTCTAAATACTTTTACAGGCCTCCCTTATGTACAGGATATATTTTTATCCTTGAATAATGTATATGTTAATCTAAAATAATTTATTTTACTTCTACTTGTTTTAGAGATTTTTGATAAGATATTATTTACATTAACTGTTTACCCTTAACTTTACATCATAGCAAGTTATAGAGATTGTTATATATTGGGCTGTAATGGGAGTGTGATTGGGAAAATGTTTGATAGGAATTTTGTATTCATATGGTAATTGTATTCTAAATATATTATAAAAAAAAGAGCTTTGAGTACAAGTTTTTTAACTATATACGTTTTGAATTATATTTTGTAATGTAGCCATGATGCATTGTGTGACTAATTATTGATTATCATTATTTAACGAAGCCACCATACAAACGTCCTACTTCAAATTGAAATTATTGTCACTCATTAAATTGTATTATATTGTATTTGTATGTATTTGTGTAATATTAAGAGAACAAATTTATAAATTGCACAAAGTTCGTTTTTTTTTTTTTTTTTTTTTTTATGGTAAATAATAAAATTTGTATTCCAGACTAATTTGTCTTGATACTAAAAATTTGATACTTCAGGTCAAGAATGAATGGTTACGTGAAACTAGGGTTTTCTTAATGTTTGTAACCTATCAATGGAAATAAATTAACTTCTTTGGGAAAATAAAACTAGCATTAGCATATTTCATATAGATCTATTTCATAATGTATTTTTATGTATGTACGCCTTAAAAATATGATGCTCTGCAACTTAATTAACAGGTGTAGTGTATAATTATAATAACAATTTTAAAATATTTTTTTCCGGTATGTTATGTCATTGAAGTTTATTTACAGGTAAAACTCCTGTAAGAGTTCCTACATTGTCCTAGTTGACAATTGCCATTTTTTAGCCTATTTTATTACATATACAACTTGCAGCGAAATTAATATTTCGATTAAAACCTATATGCTTCTCTAATCTCTCACCATGTTAAACACCCATATCGAGACATTATTATTTATTATACTATTGGTTGGTTTATAAATAGAAATTTATCTGATATCAATATTACCTAAACCATACTATGTAAAAAGTTTTGGACTTTGTTTAGTGTATCTACCTGTGGTAAGTTTTTGTCACAGTGAAATCGTTTCACAACCAAATACATCATCATATTGTGTTGGTATATTCTAAACGAATTGCATAGTAGTTGAATAAATATAGTAATTGTTTATTAAATAAAATAACAATCGAATCTTATATTTTTAACTCTTTAAATTCAATATATAGAAATAAAAACAGGTAGGTACTATCTTTAAGTAATTTTATCATGATTAAAATAGATTATTCTGACCTATTCATCATACAAACCTTTTGATCATATTGTCATTATTATTTCTATTATTGTCATTTATACCTAGGTGTATCGTACTACATACGATATACGAATAAAATCTTGTTTAGAAAACGCATTACACTTATTTAAACTTGTAGGGTACACATTATTTTAAACAGCTACCAAGTTACAAATATAAGTTTTTCATTCGATGACAGTAAAAATTGAGTGTTTTGTGTAATAGTAGCAAATCGAGAGAATATTTTGAAAAACTTCAAATTTGTGTGTTCACTAAATTACACCTAAAACTTATCTACCCAGCCCACAGGTAACTATATTATGTAATACAGGTGTTTCATTTTTTTATTATACTTTTAGTTACTTACAAATTACACAAAAAAGCAGTGGCGTGCAAAATATAATTATCACAATATAATGAAATATATAAATTTACCAAAAAAAAAAACATTGAAATTGTTTTGATGCACTATTAAACTTTTTCAGCTTCGTGCATTATTTCTGGTCTCGTTGAAGTTCGTTTTACTTTGAATGACACATTTCTGTCACACAACACCCTTGTTTTTTACATTTTTCGGTAATGACATTTTATTTTTAAAGTAATAAGATAACTTATTTAGAATAGGAAGTCTTTGAAAATGGTTGAACGTACTTCGGATGTCTCATCTTTGTCAGAGGAAGACGACAGCGACGCCATTTTTCAGCAACACGTGGAAAACTTCAAACTGTTTCGACGGAACATCCGTTTGTTTTTGGAGGACACTAAAGCTGAACTGCGCAATATTCTCCGAGGTGGAGGCGACCGCGACGCGAAAGAACGTTACTTGCGTCAGATCAACGGCCGTTTGGAACTTTTGGAAGACGACATGCGTCAGGCGCTTCAGAGGCACGTCAATCGCAACCGTGCAGTCTGTACGCATAAAATTTGGACGTTAGAAGAACTGATCTTGGATCGGACAGAGATGCAACTAGTGAACGCGACGGACGATAACGATAGATTTAATCTAATGGCGCGGTCCGAACTTCAGCAGCATTCCAGTATCGTTGACCATCAACAACACTCGTGGCCCGCACTACGCCAAGAATCGGCGCCGCCCAAGAGTCCTAAAAAATGGAAAACATTCGACGCCAACTGTAGCCGCCCAGCGATGATGGCCTCGCCCGTCCACCAGCCAATATTGCACGACGTGATATTTCATATAAGAACGCCATCTCCGCCAATCGAACAAAGAGGCGAAAAAATAGGAAGCGAATACGACGCTGATGAAACGGAAGTACGTGGACGTGACGACTCGCCGCTGAGTAGTGACTTTGGCAACGACGAAAACTTTGGGCTTGTTGAATTGGAAAACGGGGCGTGGGTACCTCCTTTTTTGGCCGGCATCAAACCTAGATGGAAAAAACTATGTCCCTGCGGAATACCAGAAGCCCGGGTGCCGGTCTCGTGGAGCCGATATATGCACGAAGAGTTGGACGCCGGAGCCGGTGAGCTCAATGTGCCCAAATGGTTGCTGCCGGACGCAGTGAAGCCAGTGAACGATAGGTTTGCATACAACGTGCTGAAATTCGGCGAAGAACTGTATTACAACGAGTACCTGGTCGGTGTGCGGCGGTACGCGTGCACAGAACTAGGCATATCGGAATCGGGTGTCCGATGGTTCCAGCGGCAGGTGTTTGTCGCCGTGCTGATGCCATCCGGTACCAAAGCTATCGGTTACCTGGAAGTGGAGCCAGCACAGGCCGGAAGACATTTGGCCGCTGACGGCCGGCTAAGCGAATCCGAGCGTTCAGTCGAATATGGCGTGTCCAAAATTTGGGTTCACGTCAAGTACAGACGCCAGCACGTGGCCACTGAAATGCTCGATTTCTTTCGGGATCAATATCAATTAATGAAAACGGAAATCGCCTTTGCGTCGCACGATACTTACAACGCCAAGTTCATACAAAAGTACACTGGAGGTAGTCCGGTAGTAATTTATACTCAAAGTACGGCATGGAACCGTTAAATGAGAATTGTTAATTTTTAACTGTTAATGAAATGAAAAATATAAATAATCATCATTGTTTTACATTTATATCCATTTACATCGTGGAGTATACAAATTATTGTTTTGCCATTGAATTAGTTAATTCAAGCTCAACATTCATATATGTAAATAGTAAATTTTTTATTATAGATTTTCCCAATTTATAATATTAATATTTGTTTCTGTTTTATTAAATTGTTGTTTTTAATTGTTATTTACCCAATCAAATCGGCCAGGCTTTAGGTATTTACATAGACCAAGTCATTGTACAAAACAATAAACTCAAATTTTTTTTTTTATAAATAAAGATAATTTAAGCACACCATAATAAATCATCAATAAAATTATAAGAAGTTAGATTTTTGTTTTTTTTAACAGCAAGAATAAAAGACATAAATATAAGTATTTTTATGTTAAAACCTTTAACTGTGCATAGGATTATAACAATTGTTAACTGTAGTAGAGCCAACAAAAAGTGAGCAATAGCTTATTATACATTAGTATGTATAAAAGGTACAAGCAATCGCTCACTAATCGTTGGCCCAACAAGTAAAACACTATATTTAATTTTAAAATAATTATCACTTGTATAATTATCAACAATAGATACAAAAATGTTTATTAAACTATAATTACAATTATTTAATACATTTTGCAGCGTCTTCTAATTTATTTAATATGTGGAATCTTCTTATTTTTGTAATATTAGCATTTACATTTGGTATAGACTTCATTATACGTGCAGATAGCTGTAAATAAATAACACATTTTTTAAATTCTCCGCTCGTAATTAATGGATAATGTTTGTGTTTAAATAAAAACAAAGCATTTATTTGATATTATTTATAGTGTAATGAATAATCAAAATAGATTAAGATAATTACTTCTATTTTCTGGACCAAATCAATTTCGTTTTCTGCACTTATAAAATTTGTTACTTTACCATCAAGTCCTGTATTGAGCCGTCCAGTACGACCACATCGATGAATATAGTCGGCAGCATACAGTGGAAAGTCATAATTAATTATATGTTTAGTCTGCAAAAAAAAAAGTATTTAATTGTTAAGTTATTGACAAACTTTAAATGATTAATTTATAATTACTCTAATTGTATTTAGACCCCGGGATCCAATATCTGTACAAACTAAAAAATTTACATTCCCGTCTTGATATTGTTTGAATTTGCCCATTCTTATGTTGTACATCATATCACCATGTAAATTGATTGCATTGATGCCGTTTTCATTCAAAAACATTGTCGCCCAATCACAAGTACTCGATGTAGAGCTAAAATATTTAAATATAATTATGAATTAAGTATATATACACAACCTTTAAAAAAGAAATAGAGTATAGTAATGTTTGAGTAACTAATACTTGCACTTTTTATCTTAATTAAAAACAGTCTAATTACCAAAATACAATTGTTGGAGTTTTGCTTTTATTTAACTTTTTTGCAAGCAACAACAAATTGGATGGTTTTTCACCTCTATTTGTTCTTATAAATTTTTGTTGAACATGAGGTAGAATGGCATGTAACCGATCTGATTTAACTTTACTTAAATTATCCACCTTAAATACATTTTGTTGATTAAAATTGGTTAAGTGCTTCAATTTTTAAATATAAAAATTACATCCATTATCCCGCTTAGAATATTAGCCAAACTAGTTGGCATTGTGGCGCTGACCAATATCAACTGAGTTAAATCACTATGGCGATCAGCTCCTTTACCTTTAAACTAAAACATATATTAGTTATAAAATAGCTTTAAAACTGTTTGCATGTGACTAAAATAAAAATAAAACCTATTATATGAACATATTATATATTGACTGTTGCAGCAAAGGAAGGTCGTAACTTGATAATTATAAATTTGGAGTAGATAACAAAAACAAATTTTTTTCTTTTCTCCGTCTTCGACGAAAAAAAAATAATTCCCAAAACCGGTCTGGGTGTACAGGAAACTTGTATAAGAATACTTAAAAAACTAGAATAAGGAATCAAAATTTAAATTTTGATTTTGCTCTCCTAAAAAGTTGTAAAAATCAAGTTATGACCTTCTCCGCTGTGGCAGCCGATATTAGATGTTATATATAAATAGTTTTCTTCAAAAATGTATACAAATGAATTGTTTTAATCAATTAATATCTTACATGGAATCTTCCTAAAAAATGTGTCAGCAATTCATTAAAACTATCATCCAAAAGAGTGTCTGCTTCATCCAGTACAATATGACGAACACAACGCATTGAATATATACCTAAAATTGATAGACATTTTAAAATTAAAACAAAATATAAATACAAAAAATATTTTACTGTTAAATTAACTAATGTGTGCAACATATTATAACAACAAATTAAAACTACATACCGGTAGTTGTTAATTTGCTAAGAGCGCCTAATGTAGCAACTACAATATCATTCTCCTCAAAAGTTGGATTGACTATTTGTCTTTTTGTATGTCCTCCCGTTATTACTTTTATTTTCAATGGTAATTCTTCGCTAAACCAACTAGCAAACTCCTTATAAAATTAAAAAGACCAGTTATTATAATTAAACAGTTTTAGTCAATACCTATAATATAAGTAATAGTAATATTATTTTATTCAAAACAATAACATACTCCAATTTGCCCAGCTAACTCTCTACTGGGTACAATGATTAAAGCAAGTGGACTGTTAAATTGATTTTTTATACATTTTTTCTCTTTATACATGAGTATAGATTGAATTACTGGAGCCAAGTAAGCAAACGTTTTACCACAACCAGTTTCGGCGGCCAGCAAAGTATTCTTGCCTTTCAATACTTCGGGTATTCCAAGAGCCTAAAAGCAACAAATAGAAGAAATTAAATATATGTTATTCATTAAAAGTGAGTCGAGGTAAAATGTTTTGCCTTTGTTATTCTCTGGTACGTGATAAATAAAACATGTGTATTGTAATAACTTTATATACTTTACTACGGAGGAAAACATTAAAACGTTTTATTCGTAAAAAAAAAGCCAGCGTAATCAGGTTTAGGAAATAGTGAGGACAGAGCATGTTGGGTTTGGAAAAGTCACAGGAACGTAAGAATTATTATAACTGAGAATGATAAAAGAGCTAAAATGATTTGTTATACTGAAGGAAATCACGCAAATGAATATTATAGAGGCTGTGATAGTACCAATTTAACCAAATTTTCATGGAAAAATAGAGAAGAATATTATAAATTCTTAAATGTGGAAATTTTTTGATGCATCAAATTATTTTCCTGTGAATTTTTTAAGTTTAGTTTTTTTTTTTAGGGTGGGTGCGTACTCATCGCGTAAAAGTGAATTAATACATGTATTAAGAATGTAAGTATTTAAGTACATGAATAAATCAGTGCAACGGTTTAGGAGATATTATTGGATAGATAAAAGTGAGACATTATTTGAAAACTAGGATCAACTTTATCTTAATATCTTTGAAGACTTCTTTCTTACTTGTATTTGTGACGGAACAGTGATTTTATGCTGTTGTAAGATGTTAATAATTGGTGGTACAAGACCAGTTTCTACAAAATCATATTGTGATTTTCTGCTTTGAGGAGAGTAATCCTGTAAGTAGGAACAATATTTTATATTAATAAAATATATAATTAACATTATGTGTTCATAAAAAAACAATTTACATTGTTATAAATATGAATTGTAAAAAAGTCATCTTTAGACTTTTTATCCTTCCAACCTTTGGACGCCAATGGTACTTCTGTAAATTTTTCATACTTTTGATTCCTTTCATGATTCAATTTTTTGCGTTTGCATTTTATTACAGCTTCCTAAAAATAGTATTAATTATTCTGTTATTATTGTGATTAGGTACTTATTATGAGTTTGTAAAACTAGTACAAATAAATTTGTTAGCAGAACGTCATTTCAGTTTTTAAAAGAGGAACCTAGGCAAAAATGTTGTTTGGTCTTTATGGACATGCATGGTAAATAAAAATATTTACAAAAAACGTTCTTAACCATCTGAACAACCTGTCTATATTCGGACAAACAGGGTCATAGTTTTACAGCGAGGGTTCAAAAACTCAGCATGTCCCCCTTCGCTCCAAATGACGCCAATGTTTATTAAATACTTAACTGTATTTGCAAGTTTTATTTCATTGCTAAAATCAAGTAGTTCATCTTCAACTGGAATTTGAATTGGCTCAACATCAGAATAATTTAGTTCAATTATTTTTTCATTATTAGTATCAAAGTGTCTAACCTAGAAACATAAAAATTAATAATATATTTCGAAGAAATATAAATATTACATTTTATTTGTAAGGTTAGTAAGACATTAGTTTGTCGCTTTTTATATTATTTTTTGACACTAAATATAATTACTTATTATCAAAACTTAAATCTAATGATGCTTATTGCTTACATTTTGATATAATATGTTAAATGAAACATTATTTTTGGTTGATTTTAATGGAGCATGGCTTTGAACAAGTTGTTGGTACCTATGTAATCCTAAACAAACCCGAAGCAATCCGAATCTAGTTGTGCGAAATTGTAGTGCCATTAGCTAACGGCTTATATTCTTTGGAAATTTACTAGTTAGGAAATTATTACTTTACTAATAAAAAACTAACTCAGTATAATATTACTGTAAAGTGACTAAAACTTAAATTGCCGGAAACTATAATGTGATAAAAATCTATGATAACACTACGAAACAACCATCAATGGGAATTGGGAACTCGAAATGGGTAAAATTGTTAAGAACATCAGTGTAGCCACTAGCCAAAAATGAACCATTATTGTAAACTGTTCATTGCTGCCGAAGGTTCACACATTTTCCGGTTAGGAAATGAACAGTATCGTCTGAAATAAGAGAAAAATGGTAATTATCTTCCTACTGCCTACCCTGATTCTCTCACAGGTTTAGTTTATTTATCCCAATGGAATACCTGTAATTCTTGAAAGTGTCGCTTCTGATTATTCTGTGATAGAACCAGGCCCCGAACACTGATGAAAATTAACACAAGAAAAATACTTATCAGTTATCAGACGAAAACGCTGCGGCCTTTAGCTTCTTAAGACTACACCACTCGTAGAAAAGAGATTAACTCCAGTATAATGTTATATCAATACTTATTATGTTTTCTCATGTATATATTAATAGATGTAACACATAATACAAATGAGGTCTTTAAAAAATGGTTGTCATTTTTATGCTTACATTGAAAGTGACCCATTCTGCTTTTATCTATTTTGTAATAACCAAGATTGATTTATTTATTAAATCCACCTTGGTAATAACACTATGCGATATTGATATGACAAGTGGTGGACGGTGGTAGCCATAGAGCGAGCATGAAGTACACCGAGCACAGATATATGTAAATAAAAAACTTTAGCGTTCGATTATAGGTACCCAGGTGATAACAATTTTTAAGTTACCATTGTAGTTTTAATACAAAAGTACTATTTTGGTGTTATTATTTTAAGGTGCGACGTCCGGCATTGCCCCGCCCTTCATGGTCTTTTTTTTTTTTGTCAGTTTTACAATTATTTAAAGAATAATACTGTATGGGTTTCTCAGTGGCTGACCATATACCATTTGTAGCTAATATGTATGTCATTACTCATTATATAAAATAAAAATAGTTGTTCAAAAAGTTATTAATAGTCAAAAGTGAACGAAGAAAAGGGTCTGATAATAGTGCGCCCACTTATTAGAGCTATTTCCAAAAGGAAAAAACTGCTAATTGATATGACTAAATTATAAGTATGTCTTATATCAGATTAAAACCTTAAAATTTTTGGAGTAAACCTAACCATAAAAAAATAGAAAACTCTGAAACACTTGATATCAATAACAGAATCACTATAATAATGTACAATTTACTGCGGAATATTTGGTGGCCTTAGAGCCGAAGTTAAAAAATGTCTCCCTAGAAAAATAAAATTGTTTTTTGAAGTACAATTAGCTTCAAATTTGTTTTAAGCCGTAAGGTAAAGCCTTACATGAAAGGTATGAAAATAATTATTTGAAAAGGGTGCTTAAGCACACCCATAATTAAATAATAGTCATTAACCGCTACTGTCATTGAGAGATATTATCTATAAAGTATATAGACTAAGCTCAATGATAATTGTATACACACTACACAGTTTATGTGTAAGAATCCTTTTCGTTTCCGAACACATCAGCTATTTCCTATTGGAAATAATAACATCATAAGAAATCAAACCAACTACACTTGTTTAATGATGTGGTCAATCTAGAGAATAATTAAAATCAGTATTACATTTTCAATGATTTCTTCTCGCATTATTGTCATTAAAACGAGATTTAAATTAAACGTAATATAGTTTATACGGTATACCGGTTTAGTGATTTATAATAGTGTGATTACTGATTAATGTGATTACTAATAGAGGTATTAATTTGTTTTTTATAATCGTTATGTCGTCAAGCAAAATGTGTTTGAAAACTATCTAGTACCTACTGCACCTTCATAAAAAAAACAAAAATATTTGATAGTCTAGACAAACAGGATTTGAAATACATAAAACTGAATAATACCAATATGGTCTTCGTCGAGAAAAATCTCAAGACTTTTATGTCAAATCCTTCCATGTTTTTGTAGGTATATAACTTTCTATCTTTACTAACATTAAGTAAAGGCTTTGTCTGTATGTTCTAACATGAGGTGAGACGGCTGCACCGATTTTGATGAAGTCTTTCGGTAATTGGTTGCATTTCCGTATCCCGATATAGGCAATGGTAAAACTTCTTTTTTCATTGTGAAACCGGTCAAAAAGTTATAATTTATTCGTTACGTACAAATTCAATAACATACAGTATACTAAATGATAATTTTCTAACTATCCCCAAAGATTACCCTAATAAATATTAGGTACAGAAGTATTAAGTTTCAACTTTGTCTGGCAAACTAAATAATTGTTTTGTTAGTAAATTAAAGTCATTAGCTTCAGGTTATTCACCAGATTCACTTCAGGTTGTGTAACGGTTGACTGGATAAATCATAGTGTCTCAGCCCGGCTTTACTAAAATCTCTCCTTTATTTATCAAAGTTAGCTCACCGCGGGTGAAAATAGTGAAATTTGTTATATAATTATCTATAAAAATCAAAATATTAGATAGTTTTTTTAAAAAAAACTAAGAAAAAATAAAAATTTAATTTTTTATTCATAAATATAAATTCTGAATTATCATTTATTTAACCCTTCAGTGCCCATTGTAACAGAAATGCAAAATGTTTTTTACATAATTTTATTTTGTTAGAAAAAATACATAGAGTTTAGGTTGAGCCCTATAGTTATTAAAGAACATGCTATCTACTAAATGTTGTAAAAGTACTTTTTTTAGGGATGGGCCGATACCACTTTTTACCGATACCCGATATTCCGATATATGTTGCCCATATAAAACCGATTCACTAAAAAATCAAAATGTTTTACAAAAACCACGAGCCGATATTAAAATAAAACCGATGTCACAAACCTATTCTCGATAAAACCGATATTACATATTACCTACCACTGATTATTGTTTATTATTTTAAGCTGAATGATACTAGCATTAACATGTTATATAGTCTTATTTTAAAATACACTATAATAATATAGATAATGTACTAATAACCTAAATATTAAATAATAAATATACAAATTAATAATTACATCTTGTCCGTCTTTAATAGTTTCAATATTAGTTTTTAATTTTAACGATCAATATTCCTTTTAACAAATTAACCATACAGGAAAGTTCAAAACTTATATAATATAAGTATCTTTTTGAGACAAATATAATTTAAAAATAAAATAGATACTTTTAACAATTAACAAATCTTTTTGTATAATATACCCACCCATAATAGTTCGTGAATGCATTTATTTTGTTTTTTTTTGTATCGGTTTTCAAAAAAACCGATACCACTAATATCGGCCCACCTCTACTTTTTTTACATATATTCTTTTTATAATAATTATATCTATAAAACATTTTATATTATAAAATTAAAACAATAAGAGTTAGTAATTAATCAACATAACTATTGTGTTGTGCTTAAGTCTGTGTCTATATCTATAATCTATATAGTATATTTAAAACATTTTAAAATTTGAATAGTATTATTATTATTTTAAACAAACTTTGTAAATACTACATTTATTATATTGTTCTACATTGTAACTAATGGCATAAATACAAATTAAATTAAAAAAAAAAAGTAAAAATAGAACCAAAGGTAGTATGAAAGTAGTTTTCATACCACTGACAAAAATATATTATTATATATTTAATTCAATGTATGTGAATGTTTCATTTAGAACAAATGGTAGCAAAATTATTAACTTAAGGAAATTTCCTTAATTTAGTTTCCCTTGAAATATGGAATGTACAAATTGATTCAAAGATCAGTAGGTACAATTATTATTTAGCCTGAATAAAAAAGACAATTATTTAAAAATATTAATAATTAACTGTGTCAAAAATATATGAATAATTATAATAACCCTTAGAGAATTAACGTAACAATACATTAACTCGTAGATGGATTTTAGTTTAAACAGTTGCAAACACTTTTAACGTCTCGAAACATAATCTTACTGGTTTATAAATAGATAAATAGTTAATAATAATAATTATTACTTTTATAAATTATTATTACTATTAATCTGTAACAGGTTAATCTATTCAAAACTGGTTATCGACAACGGGCAAGGAAAAAAATACGTTACAGTTTAAGTTTTAAAAGTTGATAGCGATCTGGGAAATAATAAAAAAGATAAGTATTTTGAAATGTTATAGTATTATTAAATAACACAAACAAAAAAAGGAAATTCGTCTAATGTTAAACTTGTCAGGCATGTTATTAAAAAATATACAACTATTTGTTTATATAATCTGACATCTAGCAAGATGTATTTAATTTATATATTTATTAATCTATTTTTGACTAACAATATTCTATTAAATAAGTCCCCTTAGTTCATGTTACGATTACACATTCAATAAAAGTACGTCCACGTAGAATGTGCAGAATACATTACGTGGTGTAACTACAGACGTACAGATTAATTTTTCTTTCGTGCAATGCGGTTGTAGTTTTGTATTTTATTTAAAAAATAAAAATTGAAGTGATGAGTGACACCGATGATGACTAGATGATGGCACGTGCCGCTTATATTATTATAAGTGGGGAAGCAAAAAAAAGTAAAAAAAAAAAATAAGCGTCGATTTTGGGTCAGCGAAATTTTTAGAAGCCGCGTTCGTTCAGTGGAACAGAATTACTGGAAAGACTTAGAAATGAATGACGCTCTTAATTTTTCAAACTTTTGTAGAATGACCATTGTTATCTAAATCTAATTTTTATTATTAAACCACGAAAAACCACGTCCAATAGTCGATAAACATTCGTTTGAAGTACCGCCAATCCCACAAACACATAATTCGATTGTTCTTTTTGTGTTTGATGTTTTGCGTGCACTGTTTGTCATGTTAGCATACTATGTGGACGCACCTTTTATATAAATAGATTTTGTGACATGTGACAAATATAAAATTAAAGATCTACGATCTACGTTTACGCGCGCAAGTGGTCCGCAAGTTGATCCACACGTCTTGAAGTTGGTACCGTCGGCGTCTGAGATACGATCACGATTAGCAGCTGCGGTGGTCACGCCCGGCTAACCTAGCGCCTGTTTACGAACCCCTAATCAGTTACTGGCAGGAATATGCTTGCGGTGGCGCGTGGTAGTGGCAGAGGAGGGCCGAGGCGGCAGTGAGGTACTGTGCGAGTACCGACGCCGTACCTTTTCCCCCCTAAATTCCATTTCGCCGTCCCTCAAGCCGCCGCCGCCGCCGCACCGTTCCGAATCCGGTTGCCGCCGCAGCCCGCAGCGTCGTCGGCGTTGTGTTTATTTTGTGCTTCGTGTTACCATTATTCCTCGTTAGTCGTTAGTCCGTCGGCCGGTGTACGAGTGTGTTGGTGTTCGTTCGATCAGCGTGCGTTCGTGTGCGTGCTTACCGTCTTGTGGTGTCTTTTGTGTTCTTCGGTGTGCGTGTGCTGTATGTGAACGAATTCACGCATTGCTTCGCGTTACGTTGTAATCTAAATAACACCGCCGTCGCCAAAGATTCACGGTTTTGCCGTTGAATTTAGCTGGGAGCAGTTTTATATGTAAGCAGTGGATGACATTCCATCCGCCCGTACACTTCACTGCCAAATGGACTTACCGTCTCCCTTCGCCGCTGTATTTCACTCGTAGTAAGTACGAACATCCTGTTCGATCAACCTGTTGCTCAAATCACCATTCGAAAACGCGCAGTGTCGTGCAAATTGTAAAGCGTGCGATCCACACCTAGCACCCTCCCACTGATAACGACCATCACCCCGTGGTTTATGTTTCATTCATGGTGTTATCATCTTTGTGTTAACAGTTCGCGTTTTCAATACTCCCGGCATTTCGCCTGCCTTTTCATCATTCCAACAAAACCGATATCTTTAAATATTTGTGGTTATTTTGCTTACACATATTTTTAAATGCCAACACGTTGTCACTGCTGTTTTAGTGGAGACCGTGAGGAGCTCTCGAAAAGGTTACGGGGACCAACGTAAAATTATATTGTATTTTAGTATGAAAGTAAGCCAATTGATATTTTATATTACTGATAATTATTGTTATTTCGTCATCGGTCTCAATGAAGGTACCTGTAGTGGTGTTTATCGTCGTTCAATTGTCATTATGTAGTCAGACAGTCGTAGGTGTAATTATACAGGTACATGCGAACTCCACCCGGAGGATATCTCACAACAGTCGCCGTTGAAATAACAATCGATATATCTTAAAATAATCACGATAAAATATTATGCCTGTTTTTTTTTCTTTCAATAGACCGAATAAGGGGAAACGGGTTGCCTGTATACATTACTCTATGTTATATAGTGAGTTTATTTTGCCTTATCCCGGTACACATCATCTAATATTATTTAAGCACCAATATAATATACACATTCTTATCTTAAGACGAATTTGAAATAAAATGGTAAAATGAGATAATATCGGTAAGTATTATTTCGTCTTAATGACTTTAAAAAACGTTTGTTGTCATAATAACCATATCCGGTGGCATCGTACCATCGGTTTATCCACTACACTATGTCTATTATTATTTCTGTTATAATATTATTGATATTCCGCTCGAGTGTGTTGTGTATCCGGTCATCTTCGCATTGTAGCTGTGTCGCTGTCCTCGGCTTCAGCGGAACCGAGCGAGTTTGATTGATTTGTCGCTTATTGCGTGTCACAGGTCAGAAAATAAGGGTTAAAGTGGTCTTTTTTCGTTGTTATTCTTTTCCATTCGTGTGAGGGACGACCCGAAGACGGGTAATCTGGAATTTGTGCGTGTCATCACGTCTTCGAGCCCGGTGTCTGCTGGCAGCTGCGTTGTTGCACATCACTCCAGAAATACAGAGTACGCCGGCCGGCCAATCTCCGGATTTTTTGAACAATTTCCAAAAATCCCCAAGGGACAAACCGGAAATGCCAGGCACGTTTTCAAAACCATGGTAGTTGAGAAAACGATTGTTTTCTTATAACCATAACAATATCCGCCGATCGTTGCGACGACACGTATCCGCTTTCCAGGTCAGTCTCCGCAGAATTTAGACTCGTTCGGAAACCCCTATCCGCCACCCCACGGTGGAAACTATCATCGTGTTCAACAGTTTGTTTTGTCTTGTTTATCGAACAACGACGACACGTAGCTCGAAACGTACACTTATTCGTGTTTCCGTAATGAATCCGTGTTTGTTAGACCGAGTAATTGGGTCTCTGTACACATCTCCGACACGCCGATAGTGTTATGGCGTTCATTGAGGAAATGAGCCTAAAGGCGATGGCAGCACACTGGTTGATTACGACACGGCCGTGGCGGTGCTCTTCGCGTAGGTACCTCTGTCTAAAATTAAAATCTCACCGCCTCCAAAATGGCAGCCTTAGGCAACCCGTTCATCTTTTTCATTCGCCTTATAAATTATCGTGCACGCTTTTCGTCACGTCCACAAAATCCTGCGGAAGCGTCGATAAGCGTTTGCCTCGAGGGTGGAGAGATGTCAAGAAAATGCATTCTTATATTCTTCCTACTTACAATGTAAAGTAGTCCACAGGTAAATTAGATTCATTACCACAACAATGAATAAACACAATAAATCAATAAACTAATATAAATAATATTCGACAGCTAATGGCCCAAGTTTCCGTAGTTTGAATAAATACAAAATTAAAAAATATTCGGATAACAATTCAATAATATTACTTTTTTTTTTTGTAAGTTCGTTTTATACTGAAAACCAAGAGGCCTAGACAGGAGTATCGCTAACAATATCATACCAAATAGCCAGTGTAGTGGGCAATGCTACTAGATATACAATTTTGATAAATCCATTAATCATAATGCACTTTTAAAATTACATCTATATACCTACATCTAAAATGACCAGATCTAAAACTAAAAACATCACCATTTTATTTATTTTTTGTCATAGCTCTCATAATTTATGTTATAAAATCTCTCTACATTAAAAACCAGAAGTTGCTCGCTCACATTACAACCAAGCTCGGAATATTAGTATTTGGAATACATTTTTATACTAGGCATACAAGTTTATTTAAATATTTCTTAAAATCTAAACCAAAATTATGTGTGAATATTTATATTTGATGGGTTTAGTACGAAATTATAATTTACGTACCCAAATGAGGCTGAAAAGTAGTAAACTTGAAATAATATTTGTTTGTTGTGTTTCTCGTTTGGCAAGCGGATGTAATTTAGTGGGGATTCTTTTTTAAAAACAAACGAGGACGCTAAAAAAACGAACAACCTCGATTTTCTTATTTATATATATTATAATTATTATTATGTGTGTATTTTCAGTAATTGCGCGCGTGCGTTCTCATTGTTTTTGCCGTGGTTCCTGTTTGCCGTCGTTCTACACTATTATCCTCGAAGTGTAAAGTTTACGGAACAATGCACTGTATAATGATAGGAGAAAATAATTATATTTTTACAAGTCTGGCGTTGGTGTAGGTACTATACCTTATGTATAGTGTAGGTATTACTTTTGTTTTCCTCGCACATTGTATACCTCACCGTGCCCTTGGAACAAATCGCCACAGGTTTTTTTCCCAAACTAGATGTAAAATAATAATAAACCGATCCAGTTAGAATAAATAAATACATACTAGAAACATTTATTACACTTTCTAATATTTTGTAGATATCGTTTAGAATTATATAAACACAATCGTTCAGTTTTCATTTAAGTAATCATATAATGTCATACGAATAAACGGAATTTATCGTTTTACATATTATAATAATACATTGTCCACGTTCTTTAATGTTGCGATTAAATTAAAACGCAACGGATCGTGGCCACATGGTCTTTGTATAATACTACATATTGTAACTCCTCTCTTTAGGACTGGGTAGTACAATACGTGAGTAAAACTATGTTCGTATGGCGTGTGTTTACACAGTAATAACGTACTATATAGTAAAACAACTTATCGTGTTATCATGTATCGCGTTACTACTCGGTGGGTGTTAAAAAACGATACCAAAACCAAAAACTGCGCCGCTACGGTACGCGGTAAAACTAGTGTGGATATATTTTAGGTGTGGTGCGGTGTCGCAAATAATGAATTAAACCAGACTTTTAACATAATGCCGGTAAATTATACGCCAACACATTAAAACGCGTCTTATTGTAATTCCGTATGTCCGGGTGTATGCCGAAAATCTTTGTTTTTAAAACGCAAAATTAACGTCCGTTGTGGATCACGTCATTTATTACAGTATGGCATTTATTCGACTGAGAACTACACGGTACATTGTATAATAACATAGTAGGGACGCTACAAAAAAAAAAAAAAAAAACCTTAGAGAATTGCCCAATCGAGAGTTCGTCTAGGCGTGTGAAATCGTCTATCAAAAGACGTGAACGACGTCGGCCGAGAGGATATCCGGTGGAAGCCGACCGAGCAAACCTTGCAATCATTCATACATAGTACATGCAGTTATCATAATGTAATCATGTAATAATATTATTATTGTTGTTAGTTGTTACTATGTTGTAGGTATGCAGCATATTATATTGGTTAACCCGATTTGCAAACGGTTCGTTCGACATCACCACTCTGTACCTCCTACGCCCAGTCCGGCAATTCTCGTTGTTCGGCTTCAGTAAATATTATAATTTCCGGTTTAGAATTTTTTTTTATTTATGCTCGGTGACCATTTTTTTCCCTCGAACCATGAGAACCACTGTCGGCGGCCGGTCATTGTCATTGCCGGTCCAGCCAGCACCAATGCGTATGTGTCAACCGACCGTCTCGCATACCGACAGTAACGCAGTAGTCGACACTGATTCGCTGATTGTTATGTTTTTGCCCCCCGCTAGAAAATCAACATACCTAATGTTGATTTTCATCAACATCCCGTAATAGAATATACGGGATTAGGGTATAAATCGTTATACGAACTAATAAACAAATAAAAGTGTAAATGTTGGTTTAAGTGCAAAATACGATGACTAATTGAAAAATAATGTGTCCTCGGGTAAAACGTTGCAAGAGATTTAGTCGTACCGTGCCGTCGAGGTGTATTCAACCTTGTCCTGCTGCAATGCGGCCGCTCTAGTAGTTAGGTCTGAACGCCTGTATAAACTTATATGTATAACTATATATTCATTCGTTTCTGGTTTTCCTCGTCTTTGTTTATCCTACTAGTCATTATTTCCGAACGGACCGAAACTAAGAGGATGTTCACTCGTATATCCCTGCACGTATATAATACACGTGTATGTATACCGACCATCCTGTTTGCGAGGCACCCACAGTTCGCAGCTGGCATAGGATGATTAAAAAAAAAAATGTTTTATACGTATTTCGAGTACCGGCGCGGAACATGGGAATCGTTTTTAATTCTCAATCCTTTTTTTGACCGAGTACGTTTGAATTTGTTGTTTTCATTGTTAGCACACCAGGTAAACAACAAACCAGCACCTCCTCGTTGGGAAATCAAAACCAATCCTATTGTATCCGCCTTCCGGTCGTTAAGGGATGTAAAAAATAAGTATTAATTCGTGTCCTCGGATGAATTCGTATGTGAACTATGCTTACGATTTCCGTTTGAACAGCATGCATGTTTTCCGTCTTTCGTTGTGGTTTTAAAAATTACAGAAGAATAAGTATTTTGTGGCCG